TTCGGGGAAAAAATGCATGGAATTGCATACCTACCTATCCTGCAGGGAAGTGGTAGATTATGTGGGGCTCCTCTTGTCGGAAGGATAATGAATACTCACATAAATAACCCCTGAGATCGCCTTAGTGTGAAGAACTATGGGAATCCAGACAAAGCCATCAACTATCACAGTCCGTCCCTATGGCAGCCCTGCCTATCCGACGGTGATGGTAGAATCTAGATATTCATATTTCTTTGAGAAATCTAGATATTATTCTTCGGACAAGTAGGTATTACAATGATCGGCATTGCCGATTAGTCGGCCGACTAATCGGCAATTTGAAAACCGACTAGTCGGCTAGTCGGTTAGTCGGCAAAGACCATAGTCGGCCCATCACTAATAAAGAGGCGTTAGCAATTATCTTTGCGGTCGATAAATTCCATAAATACTTATATGGAAGGAAATTCCTTCTCCGTACGGATCATAAACCACTGGTAAGCATATTCGGGCCCAACATCGGAATACCTACAGCGGCAGCTAGTCGGTTGCAACGCTGGGCCATTAAGTTGTCAGCTTACGATTTCACAATCGAATACATTCGGACTGATAAAAATACAGCTGATGTTCTTTCACGTTTGATTGAGTCGCAAAAAAGTGAAGTACTTTCCACAGAGACAGACTTGGCAGAGCAAACTTATTTGCATTTCTCCTCAGAAGCGCTGTTATTAGATTATAATGTGCTTAAAAGGGAGACTCTCAGCGATCCGATATTAAGTCGCGTCCTAAGTTATATAGTCGACGGCTGGCCATCAGATACCGAAATCAAGGAACTTAAACCTTATTATAACAGGAAAACCGAATTATATTGTGAATTAGGGTGTATATTATGGGGTCACCGTGTTGTAATACCGTACTCACTCAGGAAAAAGTTACGTACCTATACGTGGGTTAACGTATTTAGTGATAGTAGACTCGTGGGTTCTATATTGGCTCACATAAAATTCTAAATCCTATTCTTTGTCTTACTACCGATTTGTGTTCATAATAATCTCTCTTCATAATTTTATTTTTCATACTTTTTTTATTCATACATTTTTATTACTACCAGCATCGGAGCTCATAACAGTTAGTAGGTAATCATATTTTTTTATCAATACTGTTACTACCAAGAACCATTTAAAATACATAATTTTTATTTTCAGATCTTTTTTCTTCATAACATTCATTGATCATATTGTTTTAATTAATTATGTTGTTACTAAGATCATACTTCAACTCATTTGTTGTTGTTCAGAATAATTTACTTTTTAACAGACATACTCGTATCTTTAAAAAAATCATATATAATTTAATAGAGTAGATAAGCATGCAGAGCATGCAGCAGGAAAGCAAGCATGCAGCATGCATTGGTATCTCCTCGTCTCCGGCGCTGCGGGATGTGCAACCATCGGCGCCTTCGGCGCCTCGGCGACCAGCCTCAACCGCTCCAGCTCGCCCGGGCGCCTGAGCCTCGTTACAGCGGGCGAGGGCTGCCCTCCCTCCGCGCCTCCGGCTTTTAAATTACACTCTAGGGGTAGGGCAGACAAGACTACGTGGAGTCGGTTTTGCAGCGATTCGTTTCTGTCACTTTAGTTTTGTGGCACAAAATATTGCCTGTTTTGGACCATTTCAAATTAATTTAATGTTAAAATACGATTTAATACGAATATAGACATCATGATTTTCAATAATATGGATAAATACACTTATTAGTAATAAATTTATGAAAACAAATATTAGGATACATCACATTTATGAATANTATCTATGTATCTATTGTTAGGCAGGACTAGGGCTCTAGGGACTTAGTGTCTTAGGGAATAGGGACTCTAGGCTCACTAGGGAGTTAGTTCCCTTCCTGACCGCATATCCCGGGCACGGGAGCGGTGCTTTACAACCACTGCCTCCCGCCCGTACAACTGGGTATTTTTGAATGAAATAAAAACTAATGTATTTGTAAATGTAAAAGCTTAACTGTAACATAGGTTTCAAGTGATTTTGCATACCTAGTAACATTCTCAATTGTCTACGTGATCACGGGGTGTATTTTAAGCACCTGTCAATCAGGATTAACTGGTGTGCCATGTAAGTAAGAACTAATGTAAGGAGTGCTTATATGTATTATGTCTAGAATTATACGAAAGTTGTCTAATAGTTGTCTACTACTTTAAAAACATGGCTCAAGAGTACTCAAGACCAAGTGATTGTAGATTCCTATACAAACATGTGCTCTACTTTGGATTCTTACCAGGCACCTGTGGTTGTATCTATACTTCGACGTAACAACTCTGTGGTCTTGTGGTATGTAACTTGTAAGTGAAAGGGGCTATTTTGGTCACGAATTTGGTGATTGGAACAACTCGACGTCTATGACTCCAGGCTTGCTTCAGAAGATCTGAAACCGTCGGAACTACTGTGAGACAGCTACCCCGGGACAAACTTGACCTTCACTGGTTGGGTTTTTATTGGCGATCTAGCTGTAGATCCTAGCTACACAAGAGTTGTAGCGGTGGAAACGAGAGGTGAGAATAGTTCCCTATTACTGTTTATAAGATCTGACTACGCTAAAAGAACCATCAGTTTCCTCGTTGCTAATTCCATTAAAAAAAACTCTTAAACTCACCAAAACCATGTAATTAAAAACAACATAAATTTTCCCCAAGTGAAAGCGAATCGTAGATATTTTCTTTTTATCAGACTGTTCCAGCAATTAACCTAAAAACGGTGCGTTCCTTATCGTAATTACAGTTTAGCGGGAGATCGTTTTGCTAATTACGCCAGGAAACACAATGGGAGTAATTTGCGGTGCTGGATATACGAAAAGAAGCACCCTTGTTGGGGTTAGGGAGACCATGCGTCTGAAAAAAAATCAGGCTGGTTTTATTTGGTCATAAGTGGAAATGGCAGTGGGCGGGGAACATAGCTCGTAGAGACGATGGCCGTTGGGGCAGAAAAGTTCTCGAGTGGCGACCACGGGCTGGAAGACGTAACGTGAACAGGCCTCCTACTAGGTGGACCGACGATCTGGTAAAGGTCACGGGAAGAGCCTGGATGTGGGCAGCGCAGAACCGTGCATTGTGGAAAACCTTGGAGGAGGCCTTTGTCCAGCAGTGGACGTCATTTAGCTGAAGGGAATTATCGAACAAAGTGGAAATTCCCACCTCTCGTTACCACCAATACAACTCTTCTATAGCCAATATCTCTCCTGGCGGCTTGGACACTAAAGAAACGTAACCATTGAAGGTTGAGCATACCTGGAGGGTAACTAACCGTTTTGGAATTTGAAACGTATTTACCCTCAAGATCTCAGAACACATAATTTGAGCTCAAGATAGCACCAGGCTCGGCGGCTTTGACTTGTGACACGTTTCAACAAACGTAAATTCCATCTAGTAGAATGACATCAAACAGTGGTAACATATAAGTAATTTTATGTATCATAATAGTAATTAATTTACCTGTAAGTTTTGTATACAACATCATTATATTCTTTCGTTCATCCTTCATTATCCCATCCATAGGTGAGTGTAACGTAAACATTTTCGGTGAGTGTCATGGAGAAGTTTTATAGCCTTTATAATGGATGGACTTATAAATGATTCCTCAGGGATGTGCGATAATCTTTCTTAAACGAATATAAATAGCGAATAAAGTTGTGAGTGCGGTAAATTACTGAAGTTTGTTGGCCACCCTAAACTGAAAAAGTCCATTCTATCGCATTTGTACTAGAAAGCTTATACTCCTGGGAATTCCTTAGCAGTGTAAAGGAATGTATTATTATTATAATTAACTTCTTATAGTGTGGGCTGAAACAATTCGAGTCTATTAATCTTTAGTCTGGCAGATCTCAGTTGTTTCAACCCACGCGATTAAAAACCTGCTATTAGACAGACAATTTACATTAAAAAACGAAAAAAAAGGAAGAATTTTAAAATTGTATCTAAATTCTATTTTAAAATCCGTATTGTAAATATCAGTCCTCCCACACCAGTCTGGGAAAACCTTTTGTTTACCTACCTATTTAAGTGTGATCAGTACCAGTGTGACTGGATGGGACTTTTTTTTTATCCACAACGAGGAAGCTCTTGGCCTGTATCTCACCTGATGGTAAGTGACGATCAGGCCGAAAGTGGAAGTGAGCTTCACCCGGAATCCTCAACCACGGAGGAACTGGCTATCTTACCTCTAACCAAACCGAACAGAAAAATCTGCCCCCACTGGGAATCGAACCCGGGAGCTCTGGATCTGAAGCAGGTGGTCTTACCACTAGACACAGAGGCGGCTTTTCTTCCCAACGAGTAACAGTGTTCTCGTTTGTGTGTGACTCGTTGGGAAGAAGAGAATAATAGATAGCGTCGTCCACTGCAAGAGAGTGGAGTGTAGTGGAGACAAAATTACCTGGTTGATGAAATAGATCTTGTTTAATCTGGCACCGGCTGAAAACCAGCGCTGCACGGACCTAGTGCCATACGGCTTACGCTGATTCGGACGTCCTTGTCACCTTGTTTTTAAAATTTAATCTGTGTTATGTATGTTTTTTGTTTTTGTTTTGGTGACAATATAGATTTCATTATCATCATCATCATCATCATTTCAGCCATAGGACGTCCACTGCTGAACATAGGCCTCCCCCAATGCTTTCCATGTTGATCGATTGGTAGCGGCCTGCGTCCAGCGCTTCCCTGCTACCTTTATGATGTCGTCGGTCCACCTTGTGGGAGGACGTCACACGCTGCGTTTTCCTGTACGCGGCCTCCATTCCAGAACCTTGTTGCCCCATCGGCCGTCAGTTCTGCGAACTATGTGCCCTGCCCATTGCCACTTCAGCTTGCTAATCCGTCGGGCTATGTCAGCGACTTTAGTTCGTTTACGGATCTCCTCATTTCTGATTCGATCTCGTAAAGAAACACAGAGCATAATAAGGGTTTATTTATTCAAAAATAGGTTATTACATTCTAATAACTATTTTTTTTTTGTTTCAGAACATAATAATGCCTCACCAGTGGCTGGAAGGGAACCTGCCCGTAGCAGCCAAGTGTGACGTCTGTGATAAAACCTGCGGTTCGGTGCTCAGGTGAGTCATTGTATATCTTTTGTTTATTACATTTGTAACTTATGAATAAAAGTAAAGTAAGTAATTTGAGCACTTATACGAGTACATGAAAAGCGACACTTATTGTAACTGATCTCCGAAACGTTAAGCATACATTTTGAACGACCAAGAATACGATGGATATGTAAAAATGCTCTCAACTATTTTATATCAGCAATACCTGAACAAATAAAACAGAAATATCTTGTAAAACTCACTCATATAATTATTTTACTGACTTCACCAGACAGGACATTAAGCTTTAATCAACATCGGATTGCCTATCTTAAATGTAAATAAATTTCTATGACCTTAAATGTTTAAAACTAAAAGAACTCTATCTCCAAAGAATAAACTCATAAATTGCTTAATTTACCAACATAATTCACTTTCAGCTGAGTAAAAAGAAATTTACTCCGGAATATTAAGCTTGGAAACTTTACGATGCATTAAACCTTATTTAAACCATCGACCTACATTAGGTTACTGGGTCGGAAACTTCTAAAGCCACAATTTCGTTACCCATTGTCCATTTCATGAAAACATTTAGATAACTCCCGACCTCCTTCAATGTCAAACGTAAGCCAGTGATATGAAGACATAGCAATATAGTGGGAAAACTTTATTCTCATTTTCACAGGCTATCCCACGAGAGGAAGTGAGGGTGAAATAGTTAGGGATGCGATTTACTATCAAAATATCGATGAGCTTTTATTTTACGGTTAAAGATAACTACTTGCAGGGCGTCACATGTATCTTTATTGTAACACCACCATAAGTTGTAATGTAATTTGCAATAAACAGTTTTGAATTAAATTTTGTCTTGATTGAACACAATTCAACATTTTGGCGATACTTCATTGTAAAGCTGGCCATGCCGTAGATTTATTTTCAACAGAATAGACAGACAGACAGACAGAATAATTTATTTTCTACTGCGCTCGCACCCCAAAGCCGGTGTCTTTTAGATACAAAAAGTAATAACATTTGTTTTCATATCGCTGACGTGAAAAATAATGGGATCCTCATACAAAATTGTATCTTTTATTCATTTTATTTCACAGCAGCCTGTAGTTACTTTGCTTATTTATACCGTAAAAAATCACATAGACCGTTTAAGAAATGCTAATTTAGTGTGTAAACTTCCCTTTTTGCAAAAAACATTATCGATATCGAAATAAAACCACTTCAACCCTCAACACTTCGCTGTAGAGCAGTTAACGTGGTATTTTTCGCTACATCCCGTGAAGGCGTTGCATCCGCGAATCCCCTCGTTGCAGGCCCTGGCAGCTGGATATTGGACGGATTAACTGAGCCGGAACACTGAAAAATAATATTTTTAAAGTTCAGGGGTTATTTCGGAACATTTTTAGCGTAGATACGAGTACCTAGGGATAAAAATAAACTTGAAAGAATCCTACGTGTTTGTATAATTTCTTATCGATGCATTACTAATCGGCTCACAGTTATTAAAGGCAGGCTGTCACTTTCAATTTCTTCTCTTATATTAAGGAAAAGCCTAATTTTCATACGGTACGTACATTTTAAGAATTCCTATTACGTATGTTGTACCTTGCGCGGGACTTTCCCATAAGCGACATAGTGTGTGATACAGATCAACTCATTTAAATATGAAACTTTTTTTCTCTAAAGCCCTACTTTTTACACCCCTACTTTTAAAATGTGCGTAATTTAAAATCTACCTACGTGTAAAATATCGACATCCACAACGCACTACACTAGTGAAATGCAGCCGCGTCATCCGCGGTACATCCCGCGATCGTCTCGTCGCATCCCGTAGCAGGTGGATATTGGACGGATATACCGAACTGGAGCGCTGGAAAATGATATTGCAAACTTAAAGCCGCGTACTTTTCAGGCGGATGGTTTGAGGTCTTTCTTTTGTAAAACTTATTTCAACAAGTGCTGGGTGAGTGTTGTGGTTATTAACAGAACCACGTGAGCTAAGGCCTTGTTAGTTGGCTAGAGTTAGATAAATACCTAAATGTATTTGTTTTAAGCAGCTGTCTTCTTCTTGGGTTGTCTAAAAAGGATCGGTTTCTATCATAATAATTGTAATGTATCTTGTCGATCCAACTGTATGTGTGTTTGTCATTTGTGTGGTATATTCAATCGAGTAAGAAAGACTGGACAAAGTTGCAAAAAACACAACAAGCAACGTTATAAATAACGTCGCACTTTCATCACTCCTTAGAGCTTTGTGGCTGTCTTACGCTTCACTTACCTCAAGAAAATTGCAAGGATATCCCAACAGTAAACAAACAAGATTATGTGCCCAACTTCCACTATCTAGACCACGTCCATCGCCTGTCTGTGCATTAGAACCTTTAATAGATATTGGATGCTATCAATTTCCCGCGACGTTTCGGGATTGTCTAAATCCCGGGAAGTGACGTACAAAGCCACGCTTTCAAAATCCATCGACATGATTACCGTTTGATGGCACTGAAAGGTTTTGCTGAAGGCTTACGATCGAAAATGAGATATCCACCAGTCACGATCCCAGAACGCATTATTGGAATTAGGTACACAAAAAAGAGACATGTAAAGGATTGTGGTGCGGTACAGGAAATTAAGCAGTCCCTTTTTCCTTAAACCGATATTTAATTATGCTTATTTGTTTAACATTGATCATCTCTCATCGGATCTGAATGTTCTTGGATAGGTTTTCAATTTTAGTCACTTTTAATTAGACATACACAAAATATTTAGATGAATAAAAAAAACTATTTTTCTTTACATTTTTTGAATCATTGTAACCTTTTAAAATGCTTGGGTTTTTTATACATGATGTATTCGCTTCGAACAGTTGTAAACTTATACTATAGGTACTTGTAATGGATTTTCTTTGCAACTTCCCTAATTTTAAAAGTAACTAACTTTAATTTATAACGAGTTGTTTTTCTGTTTCTCGAACGGTTTAACATTCTGCGAATTAAAATTGTAATGTTTGTGACGTATGTTAGAGGCTAAATGCAAAGCTAACAATGCACGTTGCAAATACATATAACGACTTCAAATGGAACGTGTGCCGCTGGAAATAGCCACGTCTATTTCAGAGTGGACTAGACCTGCACGCCACTAGTTCAATTATCGATAAACTACAAATAAAGTAGGTATAATGGATAGATTAAAAGATAAAATCTAGAGAAAGATCATTTTATAGATGACCAAAAACTTCATAATTATGTAGGTAGTAGGTATGTTGGTTGACTTCATTTTCTTTTTTACGAGTATAAGTATACAAAAAGAGAACTTTTTTCAGAAATACATAGAACTTGGCACGCAGAAAAAGAGCTGTGAATGCATTTATTTCCACGAAATTAACAAAAATCATTGGGAAATGATCCTCACATAAATAGTTGTTATGTACTTACCATACATCTTTTTACAACTTAGTTGCCTATTTATGTAAATAATCGACAAATAATTTAAATAAAACTATCGATGATGGAGCAACGTTAAGAACAGACTGTTCTGACACGACAATTTGCATCTAGGACGGCTTTTGCCGCCGTATTTATAGGACGGACATTTTAAATGGATAAGAGTTTGTGATCTGAATCTATTCATTTTTGGTGTCCAACACAAGACAGTATCAGTCAGTTTACCGATCACAGAAGTAGTTAATCTTCTCTGTTACTTTCACGTCATAACTGGGGCTGAGTTGCATAATCTTAACTTTAACCTTAACTATAACTTTAACCGGCGTTTTTGTATAGAGTTTGGGTCTTTGGGAGTTTGGCAGATTTTTGACGTTTGTTAGGTATACCTAATTATTTAAAGTAAGATGTTGCAACCCTGAGTAAATGTAACAATTTGATGTGATCGTCAATAAATCATCGGAAAAAAATAATCCGTCTTTTCGTAGCGTTGTTGACAAAGTTACTATGGCCCATAGGATGTAATTTATTCTTTGAAATTGTCTGCCAATATCATTTATGAATGTTGTCCCAATTATTACGCAACAAATTAAAGTAAATAGACAGGTAATTATTATTCTAAATAGTGAAGCGTGTAATACGTGGACTGCGATAAAACTTGCATTTCACTGCGGGCCGCTACAATGTTTGAGATAGCATTGTCCGTGGCCAATGGGCCGGCAGATGCACACCGTGAACAATAAAAGATAAGCAAACAATGTACTGAAATACATATACCTATGTAACAACCTTTTATTTAACTAGCTTCTTTCTGCCCGCGACTTCGTCCGCGTGAAGAAGAAACTACTTACTTGTCTTAGCGTGAGGATAATAATATACAGCCTATGTATAGTCTTCCTCGATAAATGGGCTATCTAACACTGAAAAAAAATTTCAAATCAGACCAGTAGTTCCGGAGATTAGCGCGTTCAAGCAAACAAGTATAGATTAAGAAGACCAAAATAATCATTTTGGTTCGTATTTTGTAACGGCGCGGACACTCAAAACCCCAAGCATAGTGATTTGTTGATTTTTATCATGGGCTTTTCTTCAGAGTATTAGCACAGAATAATAATAAGTACTACGTACAGAAGTTTTACTTCGCGAAGGTATTTAAAAAAATGTATGCTCAATGTCATTAGCAATATGGTGTAATTTAGCCTGTCTCAAAAGTCAAGCACCATTTTGTTGACAAACGTCAGTGATCGGCACTGCGCCGAAGCTATAGGGCTGACTTCGGTAAAATGATGTGACTTGAGGTGCCAAACTGCGGAAAATGGCGGAGGAAATACATGATTTAGCATGAATTATCATGAATAATATTAACTACTTATTTACCTCTCAGTGTCTTGAGGCAACTTAAAAAAGTACATTCTGTGTTTTTATTATTATTTAGGCAGTTAAATACTGCACAGTATTTAGTACACCATTTTCTTTATTTTCTTCCATCATACACAAGAATACGCGTGCGTGAGTCAATGTTCGCTCGTATGTGAGGCCTTGTCGAATAGTATCCTGTAGGTGGGCCATCGTGCGTGTTTTGTTTTCGATGTTAACTCGCGGAGATAAACAGGCCTGGTATTAGGTAGAATCATACTTTAGTGATCTTTCACAATATGTCATATTCTTTGACACTTCGGATCACTTTCATACGCTTCTGATGTCCCATTATGCGGACTATTAATGTATTATTATGGTATCTAATGGAGATATCTAATATCCCCTAATTGATTGATCGTTAGCAGGTATCGGATAACAAGATGAAGTTAGGATTCGGAATTAAGGCGCACCTTGGGACGGACCAAAGCTTACCTACTTGTTCCAGTCCCGTATTGACTTATCAAAGATGATTAATTAACACGGACTGATGTTTATTTTTGCTTACAAATCGCCATATACAATCAATACCACTCATCAAGTACTGCTGCTTGGTACTTGTTTGGTACTGCTGAAATACGATTCAATGAAAAACGGTTTGCTTATTCGCGTGTGTCAATTTTGTAGCGTCTTTAAATGTAGATATGACTATCTAGGTATTATGTTTGAAATAAAGTTATTACTTATCTCTGTATTCATCCAGACAGAAAATTCGGTATTAAATAGTTATTTATATCTCATTATGACTTCATATTATTAATTAATTCAATTATATGCTTACCGCTTCGTATCTATATTTCGTATTAGAATCTGTTCCGAGCCACTGGCTGGGATATTCTTGTACTACTATAGGTACATTGGTATATCTGTCACCGTAAGATTGTGAGATCTTTGGCCATTGGGGCAGAAAAGTTCTCGAGTGCCGACCACGGGCTGGAAAACGTAGCGTGGGCAGGCCTCCTACTAGGTGGCCCGACGATCTGGTAAAGGTCGCGGGATGAACCTGGTCAACCTGGATGCGGGCAGCGCAGGACCGTTCACTGTGGAAAACCTTGGGCTTGGGGGAGGCCTTTGTCTAGCAGTAGACGTCTTTGGTTGAAACGAACGAACGAAGATGGTGAGAAGGTGAGAACCGTTAGATTACAATAAAACTCGCGAGATTGTAAACTGTTGAAAATAATGTGAACAGAAACATACTGCTTACTATTCAACGCATTATTTTGGGTAGATTACTATCTATCCAAAAGATTAGCCCTTACGAGGCCAAGAGATTCAAGTCTAAATCCCTTGTACCTAACTTCCTTTTGAAGTCACCTTAAGAATTTAACTTCTCGAAATGAATCTTGCGCGCCGAGAGTTCTTGTTTTGTTCTAAAGCCTCGGTTTTGCCCTTTGAGAAGGCCCTTGCTACCTTGACGGGGAGTTAATTGCTACTCGGCGTGAAGTGTAGTAGGCGCTACATTTCTGCGGGTTAGTAGTGGTTTATATGAGAAAAAGAGATTTTTAAGGGTTGCGTTTTGTAAAATGGTGGCACTGGTGATGAATAGTGTCATAGGGTAAACAAATTGACCAATTGAAACGTCTAGTAGAAACTTGCATGAACGAAACCTCATAATATCGTGACAGTGTTACGACAAATCGTATTAAAAGTGGCATCAGGCTCTTATTCTAGTAGGACTGCTGATCTACCAATCGCCATAACAGCCAAGGATCAAACTCTGTCTAGTGTAGAGGCCAGTCACCAAGAAAATCTAGTAAAAATTAAGCACTAGCGGCCGCCCGCGGCTTCGTACGCGTTGATTCCGTTTTACCCCCTTAGAGGTTGAATTTTGCAATATCCCGTCTTTTAAAAGGTTCCATGCAAAACTTGAGACTCCTAGCACTTCTAGTTTCTGAGATTTCGTGATGAGTCAGTGACCTTTCGTTTTTATAGATAGCTACTGACAGCATAGAGCAGCCTTACATTATGTAAGTAAGAATTAACTTAACGTCTCTCTCTCTCTCAACAGATTGCAAGACTTCAGATGCGTGTGGTGCAGACGATGCGTGCACGCGGCGTGCAAGCCTAGCTGGCGCGCGTCGTGCATGCTAGGCCCGGCGCGCGCGTCTGTCGTGCCGCCCACCCGCCTGCACTCAGTGGGGCCTGATGACGCGTGGGTGCCTGACAGACCGCCGAACGCCAGCCCGCTCATAGTCTTTGTCAATTCGCGGTCAGGTAAGATTTGATTCAAACAAAAGAGGTCCACTGCTAGACGAAGGCTTTCCTCGAATATTTCCATAATCGGTCTAGCGCTGCCCGCATCCAAATCCTTCGTGATCGTAACCGACCTGCCGGGCTAGGATGTGCGCCGTGATAACTTTTATCGACGTCAAAATCGATAAAATGGTGCGATAACCGCTTATCGCGGCGCGCATCCTAGACCTACGTGCCTACAGGTCGCGTTTAGATTCGTTCTGGATTAGATTACTATGAAAGAGGTCGCAAAACAAACATTTACAAATGTTTGTTGAAAAAATCTGTCAAAAAAAATCAGCATGAAAAAATCTGTCTAGGTATTTATAATATCGGTTGGGTATTTTCTTATTTTTTGTGCGTATAATACCTACCTAAATTAATTATTATTATACCTAAGTAAGTTTAAATGTCCTTTTCTAGCATTCATGGTACTACAAGATTTTCTTAGTTTGGGACTTTTGATGGGCCTAAATGGCGCAGTGTATGTCCAAGGATATAAAAAAAATATAATGTACTAGTCCAAAGTACAGCCATAGCTCGGGATTTCTCTTAAGGATAAAATTAGAAATGACGTTATCTGACGGAGAACAAAGGTAATCGATATAGCCAGAGCCCCCGAGGATTAGGTGGATTTCACACTGCCACGCGACAAAAACGAAACGCGCGTAAAACGTTAGACAGGAAGTTATACTCGTACCTACAATTTGTTGCAAAATCGTACCAATTACAACCGATTAAGGTGCCACAGTGTTTAGCTTGATCTGCTTCCGTACATAAAATGCATAGAGATATAGAGAGATGCCAACTAATGCGCTGAGTTCGAAACTCAGTGTCGCATTAGAAATTCACACACACAAAGTAATCAAAATAGTTATGTGCTTATTATACACTGCGGTGTCAGAAGGTACTCAACGTTCCATTATTCTTTAGTAGGTACTACGCAAAATACGTAAACTGTTTACATTATGACGTCGCTGCTGTCATAATTGCTGTCACGAGCAATGTGTTGTTTTTGGGCATATTGCTGCGACACCGGCCGCGCCCCCTTGTCACATCTCCCTTTAGTTTCTGTGATCTGTGATAAAATTTAGGTATGATATACAAGCGTATAACACTGACAACCCTCGTCCTTGGAGATATGCAGGCTCATGCGTGACAGCGTGAGATTACCCTTAATGATTACCATTAATCTGATCGCTACCATATAACTTGATGGCCGATGAGGTTTATGAGTGCTTTAATGGAGGTTGGATCTTAACAAACACAACATGGGAAATCCTTTAACAAAATGCAATGATAGTAACTGCAAAGTAACTTGGAAAAACTTCCAAAAAATAAACGACTATTTATGTAGTTAACAGCATAAAACAACTGACCAAATTAAATAGACAGACAATGAGGGCTATCGTTTTTATACTTAACAGTTGGCACCCCTGGCGATTGACAGGACCTTACTCTACAGTGGCGCCATCTTGATGAGTGCAAATACGATAGTCCTCCTACCACTTTCGCGCTCACCAGTTGGTGCCACTGTCTTCGCTACTAGCAAGTGACAGGACCTTACTCTACAGTGGCGCTAACTGGTGAGCGCTAAAACGATAGCCCTCATTACCTCAATATGAAGAATTCCCGCAAATCGGACCATCAAGGTCCATTTGCATATTTGCATTTTGAAACAATAGAGATAAAACATGTTGATAATGATTATTCATACATGGTTATTGGTTATGACCAAAAAACACTCAATTAAATAGCATAAAAATTGTATACTCGTATTTCACAACCCACATCACTAGGTTACTAGAGAGTAAGTCTAGCTCATAAGTCAGTTAGTGCCTGAGGTATTATGACGTGACAGGGCATACAATCTGAAGTCTCGCTGACGTTTGACCATTAAGATATCACCCTCCCGTGCCGCTCCCATACCTTAAGCGCAGAATTAAATAAATAATAAATAAATCATTTATTTCCCCTCACAAACTTAGGGTAGCAATTACATTTGGTAAAAAATACATTATGCTATAGGTACTTAATACTTACTAAGTTTGTGTGGGACTGGTGCCTGAAATAGGTTCTGTTTAAAACCTGTTCTACAGGTCACCAGGCCCCCACCCGTGGAATATTATAAGGTAGTATAGCAGTAAGACCCTTAAGTGCGATAGTTTGCGAAAACAAATTACTTTACACATCTATTCGAAAAGCCATAAGACGAATTTGTTGTTACTTGACAGTATTATTATAAAGATAAGAACACTAGCTTAATGTAATATGCTCTAATACTAATTATGAAATATATTTTTTTTTTAATACGCGGGCAGTGCCGCAAGAAAAAGCTAGTAACAAAAATAAGAAAATGCATACGGTAACAAAAATTTAATGAATAAGTGTGATAATATGACTGTGAGTGTGCTAGTGGAAGTGTAAGTGTAGCCTGTTTGATCGTGTATGTGTTGTGTATGTGAATGAGGGAAAGAATTATATTAGTTATGGATTAAATAATTAATAATCACATTATCTTTTCAAGGTGACAACCAAGGCGTGAAGTTCCTACGGCGCTTCAAGCAGCTTTTGAACCCAGCGCAAGTGTTCGAGCTAAGTGGAGCTGGTCCCAGGCTAGGGCTGCGATTGTTCAGGCACTTCGCCCCACTGCGGGTGTTGGTGTGCTCGGGAGACGGGTCGGTGGGCTGGGTACTGCAAGAGGTCGACAAGTTGGATATGCACGTGAGTTACTAACAGCTGCTCAAAATGTAAATCTACGCGGTTTTCCGTATAGTCTTTAATAATCTAAATATAAACTCAAAGGTGACTCACTGACTGACTGACTGACATAGTGATCTGTCAACGCACAGCCTAAACCACTGGACGGATCGGGCTGAAAGGCATGCAGGTAGATGTTATGACGTAGCGTAGGCATCCGCTAAGAAAGGATTTTACGAAACTCCACCCCTAAGGGGGTAAAACGGGATCCACGCGTACGAAGTCGCGGGCGGCCGCTAGTGCCATATATAATATGTTACATACTGGGTCCATAGAATTATGTAAACTATCAAATTACCGTAACAACTGTTTAACTACACAAATGGTATGCATAAAGTATTGGATATTCAACTTCCGCGCTCGAACAGCTAAAAGCAGGTGCAAGTGTTCGAGCTATAAATGCCTTGAGTTGATCACACTCAACACTCTGGCTTCATTATGGGTCTATTCCAGTTAATCCAGCGCAAATATTCGAGAAGTGCATCGAGTTGAATGTAGAACACCAAAATTAATGTTCCAAAAAGTTTGCAATCACTCTGCGAGTGTTGCGCTCGCGCACGACTGGACTCCTTGGCCGCGCGACACTGGCCATCAAGAAACCTCATTAGTTTTTCCGCCTATCATTTTCGACATTCTTTTGTTATTTTTCCCGTCTATCCGTGGACTATCATTTTTTAACGCGATGCATTTCCACAACTCGAATTTGAAAATGTTATCGTAAAAACGTTTTAACCCGTTTAACGAGTATACTATATAACGAGTATAGTAAGTATACTATTTCCACAACCATGTAACAAGATTTTGATCTATCGAGCCTACAGTGGGTGTTGGTGTGCTCGAGAGGCGTCGTTTGAATGAGTGCTAGGAGGAGAAAATGAGTTTTACAGTCATCATCATAATGTTTAGTCACACACAGGACGTCCAATGTTGAACATAGGCCTCCCCCAATGATTTCCAAATAGGCCGGTTTGTAGCGGCCTGCATCCAGCGCCTTTCTGCCACCTTTATGAGGTCGTCTCTCCACCTTGTGACTTAGTTTTGAAGTTTTGAGTAATAGTTTTCATGTTCCATATACTAGACAATTTAGGATTCCCATTCTTCATTCCAGCGTCAAGTACAAACAGCAGTGCTGCCGCTTGGTACTGGTAACGACCTAGCGCGAGTCTTGGGCTGGGGCGCGTCGTGCGACGACGCGGCTAACTTACAGCAACTGCTGGAGCGGTACGAGAGAGCTTCGACTAAGATGCTGGATAGGTGAGGATGATTTGAGTAAAAAAATACTTAGCATTCACTTTGAAATCATTTCTAAAAAAATGTAATGAAAATTATTTCATTTTTCAATATGAAAGAGAACGTTACTTGAGGTCTGAAAAAAAAAACAATTTAACTGATATATTTTTTGTTACGAGTACGTTCGTCGTAATTATTAAAACAAGATTTGTACGAATCAGGAAAAAGTTGTATTTTAGAACGGACAAGCGTGATACTATTGTTCTTAAAATTTTCTGATGAAAATATACCTAATTAAACCAGTGATTCATGCATTTTGTTGTTGTACAAATTATTCCCTAGATTATCTGGAAGAGATCGCAGTCTAAATAAATAATAAATTGCACCTTTGCACCTAAATTGTGCCGTTTCACTTTTGTATTTCTGTTCTTTTATATTTAAGACTTGTGAGATGTACAATAAAGCATAATAATATTTATTTTAATAATTATTTTGAATATTTCCCAGGTGGTCGATAATGACGTTCGAGAGGGCATTGACAGCGCCGCCGCCTCCGCCCGCGCCGCCTGACTTAGTAGAAGAAAGCTCGCTGCTGAAGAACTTGCAGGAAATTATGCAGGTAACGAAGAAAACCTAGTAATTATTTTCTCAGTACTGCTCTACCACTAAACAGATGGTAACAGAAAACAATCACAGGCTACACTTCGGAGAATGTGCGAAGGAATTATATGACCTAATTGCACCCCTTCCATCACCGGGGAACCAGATGCAGGCTAGCGTACCATCCCTACATTGTCGACATTCCACCAGCGCGCACAAAGCGTATTGATGACTCTTTTATAATGCGAACAGCTAGGTACTGACTGGGACTTTCCTGAACACTGTAATCTGGGCCTTTTCAAGGCGAGAGTGAATAGGCACTTATAAGGCAGATATGTACCATCCTAGACTGCATCTTACTTAACACCACGTGCGATTGCGGTCAAATACCTGCCTTGTCTTGCATAAAAAAAATCACATGTAGGTATGTACAGTCACGGAATGAAAAGGTTCGTCAGTTTTCAAATTGATTCCTTCAACGAATCACGAGCACATATTACCTTTTGAAACCATGTCACAGAATAATCTCGAGTTAGAGAAAATAATCTTTAACTGTTCATCAGTAAAGTTCAAAATTATTCAGATCAAAGTTGTTTGACGATTTATCTTGTCAAGAAGATTATTATGATTGATAAACTAAAACCTTGTTGGTTCAACCTGCCAGTATTATTACTATAAAATAAAAAAAAACTATTGTCAATTGGTCAATGTCATCATTGCATTGCACTGATGGGATAGAAAAATAAACAAGCAAAACCTTATTCGTTAGCAAACGTCATATTTATTTAAATGTTAGCAGCACGGTTTCTTGCACTGTTATGTTGGCAGGTTTGAATCTTACAGTACCTACCTAGTGCAAGCGAAAACCGACAATAAGGTGACGAACCTTTTCATTCCGCGACTGTACTTCATTTTGCTTACGCACACAGACGCGTCTCAAGCGGCCGACATTCGCGCTGGCAATGGTTTAGACTGGTTTGCGACACCGCACGTGTCGTGTCCATGAATGATACTCGAGCGCACTTTGTTTTTAGATTGTCTTCAGCCCCCCTAGACAAAACGCACTTTTTGATCGAATCGAAAATCGAATCCGTCAAATTCCATACAAAAAAGGGGCTTTTCGACCACTTTTCGACTGGTTTGCGATTATAATGGCACTTTGTCTAGACCCACTGCTCCTACTTTGTGGCTTTACATTGTTCCGATAGAGCAAAACAGACTGTTAACGCCATCTATCGAACATTGTGTGAAACTGAAACGTGAGTAAAGTTGTAGACAATAGGCAGCTAGGCCCAGATTTCAGCTGGGATTGTGCCCAACTTCACATGGAGGTGCGCGCCAGTCAACTGAAAGTTCCGATAGCTCATTGCTCCTTCGACCGCCCACTGAGTTTTTGCTGTAATTTGTTAAATGTTTGTGTTGAATAATGAATTAAATGTGTTTTAAGGTAAACGAATAGTCATTATAAATTGATGAATTTAGGTCATGACCAATCAACAATATAGGTATGGGGCTATGTTTACTATCCAAGATTTTTTTTTACCAACATGAAGCAATAAAGAATATTTGATTAGTTCTGATTCAAGTCTGTGATCCAAAATATTGGAATTCAATTAATTACGGACCCGAATGTAGGTATACTGAATTTTGAATCGATTAATGAGCCCCGAAAACCCGTTCATCATCATCATCATCATTTCAGCCAAAGGCCGTCCACTGCTGAGCATATGCCTCCCCCAATGACTTCCACATCGCCCATTTGGTAGCGGTCTGCATCCAGCGCCTTCCTGGTACCTTCATGAGATCGTCGGTCCACCTTGTGGGTGTTCTCCGGGTGAAATCCTGTTAAGGAAGGTTTGAAATCAAAAGCCTGTTTAAGTGTCTAGTTAGTAGAAAAAATCTAAAATGTACGGGACTATTCCCACCTCTCGTTCCCACCGCTGCAACTCCTGTGTAGCCAGGATCTACAGCTTGACCGCCAATAAAACCCAACCAATGAAGGTCAAGTTTGTCCCGGGGGAAAGTTAAACTGTCATTGGACCCGCAACGAAATTAATGTGTTATTTACAGGCGGGTGAAGTAAGCTGCGCAGCCACTGGTGCTTTGCGCGTGGGTTGTGCGCGTCTTGCACTAGCGGGGGAGCGCGCGGGGGGCGGGGCCGCGCGGGCAGCACACCGCCTACGTCGAGCACTGTCTTTGCTTTTGCACGCGCGCGCGCATTTAGCGCACGACCACGCGAGGTGCAGGTGAGATCATTAATCTAGCTTTGATTAGACATGCCGCTGGTGGAATCACTGTTTGTTATCCAACCCTTGATTACACAAGCCGTGTATTACTGGCAGGTGAGTGGGGGGCAGGGCTGTTACTACACGCGGGCGCATTTGGCGCACGACCACGCGAGATGCAGGCAGGTTTATTGTTGGTAGACCTTAACACTAGGCAATGAAGTTCAAAATAATGTTGCCATAGACTGGTTGAAGGTCAATTCGAGTCGCGCGGTGCAGGTGGGATCATTGTTTACTATCCAAGCGTTGATCAGTCAAGCCGCGAGAAGTAGGTAGGATCACTGTTTAGTATTCAAAACTTGATAGGACTAGCCGTGCAGTGTCGCGCGAGGCAGGCAATGCTGGCTGGGATATTATAAACAGGCTGAGGAAGTAAGCGTGAGTTGCGCGCGTCTTGCACTAGCGGGGGAGCGCGCGGGGGGCGGGGCGGCGCGGGCAGCACATCGCTTACGCCGAGCGCTGTCTTTGCTTTTGCACGCGCGCGCGCATTTGGCGCACGACCACGCGAGGTGCAGGTGAGATTAGTAGTCTAGCTTTGATCAGTGGGCTTAGTGTAACTTTACATCAAACGTCTTCAATAGTGACTGCGTAAAAGTGACATTCAATGTATGACTTGTATGATTGCATTGCATCGCATTTAGCGCACGACCACGCGAGTTGCAGGTAGGATCACTGTTTAGTATTCAAACCTTGATAGGACAAGTCGTGTAGTGTTGCGCATGGCTGGCATATTATAAACAGGCTGATGAAGTAAGCGTGGGTTGCGCACGTTTAGCGCTAGATAGTAAATAGCGGGGGGCGGGGCGGCGCGGGCTGCACACCGCCTACGTCGGGCACTGTCATTGCTTTTGCACGACCACGCGAGATGCAGGTAGGATCACTGTTTAGTATTCAAACCTTGATAGGACAAGTCGTGCAGTGTCGCGCGAGGCAGGCAATGCTGGATGGGATATTATAAACAGGCTGAGGAAGTAAGCGTGGGTTGCGCGCGTCTTGCACTAGCGGGGGAGCGCGCGGGGGGCGGGGCCGCGCGGGCAGCACACCGCCTACGTCGCGCGCTGTCTCTACTATTGCACGCAGGATTACTATTTAGTATTCAAACCTTGATAGGACAAGTCGTGTGGTGTTGCGCGTAGCTGGCATTTATAAATAGGCTGAGGAAGTAAGCGTGGGTTGCGCGCGTCTTGCATTAGCGAGGGAGCGCGCGGGGGGCGAGGCGACGCGGGCAGCACATCGCTTACGTCGAGCGCTGTCTTTGCTTTTGCACATTATAAACAGGCGGGAGAAGTAAACTGCGCGGCGACTAGTGCTTTACGCGTGGGTTGCGCACGGTTTGCACTAGCGGCGGCTCGCACTGTCTCTGATACTACATGCGCGCGCGCGCATTTAGCGCACGACCATGCGAGGTGCAGGTAGGATCATTGTTTCTAAGATTACTACGATTGATTAGTTGACGATAAGCGATGACTTTCGACGGGCGCGGCAAAAAGCCTAACAAAAGTCGGACATGCCGGACATGAGATTCCGTAAAAAGCTAAACACCTGGCAACCCTACGCACGCGCATCTCGCCAGATGCAGGTGGGCTAATGCTTAGTCACACCAACGCGTACAGATGCTGCATGACAGTTCACGCGACATGTCATATCCCTATGATCGCGCCTGCGATGGCGATCTGCATCCGTTGGTGTGGTTGAAGCTTTAATGTTCATTTTCATTTCTTGTTCACAGATCATGGGAGCCTCTAGAAACAAATAGTGATAGTGAGCCTGAAGCACAACCCGTTGCCGAGAAAGGCAGCATCGAAAAGACTGAAAAGGTACTATTTATAGTAATTCAAAAAAAAAAATACACACGCTCCATCTTGAATTTAAATCTTAATATGTCCTTCTTGTGAGGTTCGAAATTAATTGTGAGTTTTGTTATCTGTACAGGAGCAGCTTAATTGGGCGGCACGAGGCTGCGCCCTCGCCGGCCGCGCAGATAGCGTTCGGCGAGCGTTACGCTCGCTCGTCCGAACGCTCGTGCAATTCTACCCGCAGGTTAGTACGGTAAGCATACAATGAGTAAGAATAGTAAATGTCCAGTCAGTTACTTTCCGTAGATTCTAAGACATTTTGGTTTGCAAGACTGTCAATAGATGGCACTGTGCTGACTTACACCGCGGTGTCTAAGTTTTTAGCGACCCGTATATTCTTATATGACTTTGCTTATTTATTTATTGATAAAGGTACACCAACCGCAATACACATTTGCTTATGATTTATAAACCTGAGATCTTTTTTTCCTATCCATATTTTAGTGTTCTGTATTTACCTACTACAGTCCATCTGCCCGCAAAGACTTAAAATAACTTTCAAACATGCAAACGATAATGCGCACATTATTAAATGACAACCTGCCAATAACGGTCTTCTTAAAATGAGTTTTCAAACATCCCAAACCTAGCAGCGCATCTGCTCATCTCGCTTGCTTGCAATCGACCGAATGGGGTTGTATTAGCAATCAAACTTACGTAGCTGGAAAATCTTAGATCAGGACACTGAGTGGTAGGTAAATAGATCTCTATTGCCCGTTCTCACCATCAATCCCTAATTTTTAAGTGACTTGAGGTAACACATAACAGGAATTTTTTTTTCATAGGGGTCACTTAAAAATTAGGAATTGATGGTTGTTGCGGACAGCCGCTCGGGCGTGCGGAAATAAGAAAAACCTTCGGTTAAAATGAAGATGTATTCCTGCAAAATATGCCCACAACGGCTATCAAAAACAAACATAAACACTAAACATCAGAACTTCAGCACTAAACAAAAGGTATCAAAAGTAATAAAAAAAGTATAAAAAACATAGACAATATAAAAAAGAGGTTGGTCCACCAATCGGTTCCCAACAATGGTGAAAACGGGCGTATGTCATTTATTTTAGGAGTCAGAATCGTGCGACACGTGCACGAGCGGCGCGGAGGGCGGGGCGGCGTGCGAGACGGGCGCGGGCGCGGACGAGATGTCGGCGCTGCCGGTGCCGAAGGCCTTCGCCGACAGTCGGCGCTCGTCGGCCGCGTCGGCCGTTTCCGCCGCCTCTATTAACCCTGAGAAGTGAGTCCAAGATTCAGCCGCATATCATAAAACTCTCATACATCTCATCTCATACGTTATCGGCCGTTTGGTGTAGTGGTTCAGAACGGACTTCTATGCCGAGAGGTCCCGGGTTCGATTCCCGGCCGGGCAGGAATTGAAATGATGAATTTTAATTTCTGTGACGGGTCTGGGTGTGACTATGTATAATATTTATGTATTTAAAAAAAAGTATACAGGGTGTTAGGTAAATGGGTATATGAGCCGACACTAGCCCATGTTAACATGGTCATATAAATGGTATGGTGAAGTCAGAAAATTGATATCTTCATTTTAATTATTTTAATTTTCATACAAATCGGATTTTATAAAAAATATTTTGTATGAAAATTTAAAAAAATAAAATCATGATATCAAATATCTGACTTCACCATACCATTTATATGGCCATGTTAACATGGGCTAGTGTCGGCTCATATACCCATTTACCTAACACCCTGTATAAGTAGTATATCCGTTAAGCTAGCACCCATAACACAAGCATTAAGTTGCTTACTTTGGGGCTAGCTGGCGCTGTGTGAAATTGTCCAAAGATTTATTTATTTGTTTATTATTTATCTCATAGAACTCATTTATTTATGCAAATAGGCTTTTAAAAAGCACTTTAACACGTCCCTGTATTAACCCTACCACTGCTTCAGGACAATAAATGGGTCAGCTGAGAAGAAGCAGCGAAAGAAACTCGGTCACTATTGTCAGCCTCATTTCTCTCATCATCATTTCAGTCGCAGAACGTCCACTCCTGAACGTAGGCTCAATGATTTCCATAATGACCGGTTATTTATTTTATTTATTTATTATTCATTATTGAGCAATTACATATTTGATCCAAATAGCGTCCTAAATCCTCTTTAGGTTGGTAGCGGCCTGCATCCAGCACTACTACTACCTGCTACCTATATGAGGTCGTCGGTCTGCCGCACATGTATATGTTTTCTAGTGATGTAACTGACATGACTAAATTTAGGGATTATCTTAAAAAAATAAGTATATCAATGTCCATGAAGTTTTTGTTTTTACTTTAGTGGCTTTCCATGTGTCATGTCTGATAAAGGGTCAAATTCCAAAGACGAAGCACTTTTAGCGCTACCTTATCCGAGACATTAAATAGTAATACGTAACCAAAAGTCATTGTACTATTACTGTGGGAGCTTTAGCTCAACTTCATCTATGACTTATGGAAACGAATTTATCCTAACTCGCATGTTTTAATATTATAGAAACTACTTATATCAAAAGTTTTTGTTTTTTCCAGCATTCCAGACGTGGACGAAGATATAGCGAAATTAATTAGTTCGAATCCGCCTGAGCAGGCGTTCAGCTTAGACGTAGACAAGCGCTCGCGCAGCAAGGCCGATTCGGCCTCGCCGCAGGAGCGCCTGTCTCTCTCCAACCTGTCCTCCTGCGACACCTCTTCCTGCCGCAACCTCCGCCCCGACGCCGCCGCCTTTAGCTCTAGCCTTACGATACCTAACCTAGTTGTCTCCGACGATAGCGATAAGCCAGATTCGATATTACAGGGAGTAGCTTACGAATCGGACCAATTGACTATTATAGACATCGACAAACCTTACACCGACGACGTTCATTATAGCGAACTGAGTGCCCGAGCGACCCCAGTTAGTGGGGATTGCACGCCGGAGAGGAAACTATCTAGTGTTGACTTGGAGGTGGATGCAACGAGCTCGGAAGGGTCCAATATTAGCGACGACTTTAGCTTAATATCAGAGATTATTGACGCGAAACCAGACGATATCGAAGAGACTGGCTGCATCGGACACATCGATTCCCCTGAAGTTTCAGATGCGACGTATATGAACTCTGAGACTTTACATGGAGAATCGATCATGGACGACATCAGCTCTATGCTCGGACAGGACGTCCTTATGGCTATGATGGGAAAGAACGGAGAAAACGAAACGTATACGGATGACACAACACTTTTTACATCAGATACAGTGTCAGATATACAAATGGACAGCCGAAACCCTAGCTTGGAGAAGAATAACGAGACCAAAATGAAATACATATCGAAAATTAAGAAGCCCAAAGAGGGGGAGGTTGAGAAATTCGGGTTCGAAAACAGAGTATTCTACATCGAAAATGCAACGAAAGTGGAGGAGCAAATCAAATACTGTAGTCTAGCGCAGTTTGAGGAGGGCAGTGACATCGCTAGGAAATCGTTCAGAAAACAACTAAAGAAAAGCATCAAGAAAAGGGTGGCCGACGATTCAAGTGTTAAACACCTATTGCCTACGACAGAAGAACTAAAAGACGACGATTTTGGGAAATGCTGTCACAGTTCTCTGACAATGATTCCGTTGAACCAGCACTGTGAAAAGAAAGCAGATGGCGTCCAACTCCAAATACCAGCGTTTCCTCAAGTTAGTGTTGTAGTGGAACCTCCTTCTCCTTCACACAGCGAAGATAGGAAGAGCTTGAAGAATAACGGTAGTCGAATGGCGTCGGTGCTAAGTGACATCTTCGACCAGGGTACGGATACGCTGAGTGTACATTCCCCTGAACCCAGCATTGCCACAGCCAGGGAAAGGCGACAGTCAGATAACCCGAACCTGTTAAGTTCTGATCCGGAGTATGGAAAGTTTTTGAGCTGCTCCCCGGCGGCTACTAGAAGAATATCCTGTGGAAGCCTCTTCAAACCTGGTGAACCTGACAAGTAAGTTCAAGTTTTTTTAATTATTTTTATTCCTTCTTTTATTATATTCCCGTTACAGTTATTTAGCTCTAGATTCTAGGGTAAATGGTAATATTGCAAGAATCTGTCAGTCTTTGACCTATTTGGGTTTTAGAAGTACGAAAAGATCTTTACAATAGAAATAACTTGCAGGGGATGAAAACTTAACTTAAGCTACTCGAAATAATTATTCTATACGTACGTTTTCAATGGTCTAACAATCACAATTATACACATCTCATTTTAGTGATTTGTCTCAAAGCAGGTTATCAACATCAGTGTCATCAATATGGGGGGAAGGCGGTGCGATGAGCGGGATGGGGTCATCAAAGACCGAAGTCAATGATAAAGCTAAGAAACTTCCCATCATCAACCCCCTAGTTCAATTACCAGCTTGGCCGCACGTCACCCAAGGGTTCATAAGCCAATGTCTTCTCGCAAACGCTGATGCGTTATGCGCTGCTGTCAGTCCATTGATGGATCCTGATGAGACGTTGTTAGAAGGGTTCTATGAAAGAGCAGTGATGAACAACTACTTCGGAATTGGGATCGACGCGAAGATAACTCTGGACTTCCATAATAAGAGGGAGGAGCACCCTGAGAAGTGTCGATCGAGGGCGAGGAATTACATGTGGTACGGCGTGCTGGGGTCGAAGGAATGGGTCAATAGGACTTACAGGTAAAGACTTTCTCTTGCAAGCCTTTTAGTATTTTTATACCAAAAATTACTGCCCATTCAAAAATACAAAATTATTTATTGTGAATCATAGGTAAAATGGTGACATGTTACAGTAGGTAGTATCACTATGTTCCGCTCAAAGAGCATACAATTTGTCAGACAACAATAAAATATACAGGGTGTAACAGGAGGGGTGGATCATCGTAAGTCAAACGATGGGGGACTTCAATACCTATCGATATAACCCCCATGTATGTTCCGCGATTTTCAATGGTTCCAAAGTTATTGAGATTTTTGTGAAATTTAAGTAAAAAGCCGGAATTCAGTATAAAAGTCTTCACTATATCGATAGGTATTGAAGTCCCCCATCGTTTGACTTACGATGATCCACCCCCCCTGTTACACCCTTTATATTATCCTGTATAAATAATATTTTATCCTGCTATTCAACATTTTATGTGGGATCATCTTTCAATGAGTTTCTCTTCCAGGCATCTCGGTCAACGAGTACAACTGGAATGCGACGGTCAAAGGATACCTTTGCCCGAGCTGCAAGGGATCGTAGTCCTCAACATCCCCTCGTTCATGGGCGGGACCAACTTCTGGGGCGGCACCCGCGGGGATGACCTGTTCCTGGCGCCTTCCTTCGATGATAGGATCCTTGAGGTAAGTTTTAACATGAGGTAGTTTTGCCATATGAGTGAACCTAATTTTAAAACATGCAAGCTCACACTCTCACACGTCATCATTTTAGGACAATAGAATCAAAAAAGTTGAATTCATTATCACTAGTAAAGTAAAAACCCTGATGCAATTTTTTCCTTCTTCTATCGATAGAAAATTATAATGTCAAGTATAGTTATTAAAATAAGTTAATTTTTTTTAATTGTAACTTTGTAACTATGGTTTTGCTGCCCTCTCGTCCGTACATTGGCTGGCAGAATGATTGTGTCTAGGTATATTGGTCTACAGAATTACACTTTCCAGACTTTTGAAGCCTCTAATAATTATTAGTTTAACTTATCAGTTACACCTCTCCAAGGCGGGTCGTTACATTCCCTCTAATATGGTCGAGTGAAGCGATGGCTGGTTCACTCGTCATGTCTGTGAACAGGCGCTGCTTTCGGGGACTGGTCAATCCAAGTTATTCAAATTTATGTATGCGAGTCATTTCTACTAGTATCTTAATATGTAAGTCTAGAAATTAGCACGTCACTACCTTGTATAATATACCACGCAATATTGTATACCCATGCTTATAAGATACACCATACAAGAATGCATGGTAAATTCAGTGAACTGCTCCTGAATCGAATGTACCTACTACTACTATTTCTATTTATTTATATTAACCGGCAGACAGTGGTGACTGAGTTTGTTGCGGCGCTTCTTCTCAGCACTTGCCAAATGTTGGTCTCGAAGCGCTGGTAGGGTAAAAAGATTATGAGACATGTAGAGCCTCCTTAAGAGCAAAATGACGATTTGTAAGAACTATTTATTAGTCCAAACAAATAAAGAAATTTTGACTTTGACTTTTTGACTTTGACTTTGACATTCCAGTGACGAGATGGAACCGAGCCACGCGTTCATAGTGTTCAAAGTGCTTTATCAGATTTATGCCCATTTTCACCATTAATCCCTAATTTTAATGACGGGCATTACTCTCTTATGTAGGTACTTACTGACTATTCAAGTTTCCATTGCATGAAACTTTATACCTCTCCAGGTGGTAGCAGTATTCGGCTCAGCCCAAATGGCGGCTTCCCGCCTCATAAATCTCCAAAAACACCGCATCGCTCAATGCAGGGCAGTCCAGATCAACATCCTTGGCGAGGAATGTGTTCCAGTACAAGTAGACGGAGAAGCCTGGCTACAACCACCCGGATGCGTCCGGATCATACACAAGAACCGGGCGCAAATGCTGTGCAGGTCAAGAACACTGGAGAACAGTCTTAGGTTGGTGTACGTTATCTTTCTTGATACTTTTAGTAGAAAGTAGAAATGTAGTGGAGTAGTGCTAGTACACTTCAGTGCAATCTACTTTTGAGACTTACGCCCGTATTCACAAACATGAGGTCTCACAGTGCGCGTGGACGCACAGGGTGACACACGGACCAATCACAGAGCTCTATTCAACGCTGTGCGGTCGATTTACTGCTTCACTTAAGCAAGCATCGTTTGTGAATACGGGCGTTAGCAATTGAAAATGTGGTGGAACGACATCCTCATAAAGGTGAAGGCGCTAGATACACGCCACTTCCAAACGGGCGATGTGAAAAATGAGGGAGGCCTATGTTCAGCAGTGGACGTCCTATGAATGAAACGATGATGATGAATCGAAAATATCATTCGTCAGAACTAAGGCACTCGCTCTAGGATTTCAAATGTAACCTACCTGTAAAAGTGGTACCGAGCACATAGCACTGCTTCTGTGCATTGCAACATTTGCAACAGCATTAAAATATTTTTATTAAGTGATAGGGTTCGTGATGAAAATATCTGTAGTGATAAATAACTGCCAGGGAAGATAAGATAGTGCCTAATACCGATTAGAAAACGCAACGTGAAAAACTCTCTTACCACGATCGACCAATGCTCAAATACAATGCTGGAAACTTAATGCAAGAGGCTCAGAGAGCCGCTCGCAGCGGCATTTTTAGTAGGAGGCCTATGTCCACTAATGGACAGAATAATTTTCATTGTAACATATCTCAGTTCAGTCAGCTCGCAAACTTTATATCGGTCTCGATTAGCCACATAATCATGTTTAAACAATCCATTAGATCAGTCTTTCCCAAAGTGGGCGATAACGCCCCCTTGTGGGCGCTGCAGGCTTAAAGGGGGGCGGTAAGAGACCCAGAAAAAAAAACGGGACGTTGTGTAGAGGCTTGGGAGGCGTCATCTACTAGGAGGACTCTTAGACACCGACTGAGCTCGACTCTTGACTACAAAAATGGGGGGCGCTAAAAATATTTTATTCTCAAAGTGGGCAGTAGACTAAATAAGTTTGGGAACCGCTGCATTAGATGAATAAAAGCAAATCTACAAACCTAGTCACAATAACGTTCTGCTCGCCAGGGCGTGGGACGAGAAGCAACAAATGAAGGCGCACGCGCTGGCCGGGCAGCCGCCGCGCGCGCCGCTGACCGCCGCCGAAGCCGCCCAACTACTCGCGCTGCTCGATGACGTCAACACACTCGTCAAGCACGTCAGTACCCATACTCAATACTCAATATTTTGTTGCATCCATTATGTTGTGTTCCGTCAGTTGGAGGTAAGATAGCCAGTTCCTCAGTGGTTGAGGATTCCGGGTGAAGCTCGCTTCCACCTTCGGCCTGATCGTCACTTACCATCAGGTGAGATACAGGCCAAGAGCTTCCTCGTTGTGGATAAAATAAAAATAAATAAAATAAATGTACACACGACAGCATATCAGGTTACCTATTTTTGTTGCAAACTCGCCCCTATTACAACTGCACAAGAACCCACAGTGGTTACGTTGACGTGCCGTCGTCCGTACTTAAAATTAGAACATTATGGGCCCTGTAGGGCACGGCAATTAGGAGAGAGGAGGACCACCCTTGATCAACCGAAAAATGTATCAGAAGTTAGAACCTAATAATTTATCATTGAGATACTCACTTAAGCTTATTAAAAATTTTGATTGACATGGAAAGTGGACCCGATGAGTACAGTTCAAGGCGGGATGGAGGTGTTATTAGTTTTTGTCGATGTCGAAAATTGTATGTACTGTCGAACTGTCGATGTCTTCTCGTTTTTTGTAAAATTCTGGGTATTTTTTGACAAATTTACACGTCTCTAATATGTAAATGCTAGGTAGGGTGAGTATATCGTTTATTGTTTTTGGTACCCTGCCTTGTGTGTTAGCTCTGCTGTGACGTCACGCGAGCAGCAGTGAAGGCGCACGCGCTGTCCGCCGCCGAGGCCACGTAGCTGCTCGCGCTGCTCGATGACGTCAACACGCTCGTCAAGCACGTCAGTACTCTGCCTTGTGTAGCTCTGCTGTGACGTCACCGCGAGCAGCAGTGAAGGCGCACGCGCTGGCCGGGCAGCCGCCGCTAGATGACGTCAACACGCTCGTTAAGCATGTCAGAAGGTGCTGCTCAACAAACAGACTTTTAAGTAACTAATAAATAAAGTGTTCGGCATAAAACTTTTCTCGCGCATGTGCACTGTGTTGGATGACGTGAACACGCGTGTCCTATGTTTATTAAAATGTTTTTATGATGTAAAATCCTGTCTACCCCACATTAAGTTGTGTGAGGCTTGCGTCAGATGGACGACACATATCCTCTGAACCCTGGTACTCTTTCAGTCGTCTAACGAAATAGGAAATAACTATGGCGAAGCAGACTCCCAACTTTTTTTAGCATTTGGCAGTTTTCTATGGTGCCAATAACAGCATCTAATACTGTTTTCACAGGTGAAACTGTCGTGCATAAGCGAGACGGGCGTCTCTGGTGGAGTATCGAGCGGCGTGGCTCTGGCACGGCGCGTGGCGGCGCAAGCTGATGCTCTGCAAGACGCCGAAGGAAAACTACTGCCCGCGCCGCAGCTGCGACGTCTACTGGCAACCCTGGTAAGAACTAAAGACTTACTATAGTACGATAAATTAAAGTCTCCTCCCACAGTTCATGACACCGAGAAAAGTTTGCTACTCGCGCCGCAACTGCGACGGCTGCTGGCAACCCTGCTAAGAAGTTCTTACTTCTTCTAATAGGAAAATAGGAGTACAAATAAAAGTAACACTTATCCCAAATTAGCACTTTTTTTTTATCCAAAACGAGGAAGCTCTTGGCCTGTATCTCACCTGATGGTAAGTGATGATCAAGCCGAAGGTGGAAGCGAGCTTCACCCGGAATCCTCAACCACGAGGAACTGGCGATCTTACCTATAAAGCCTTGATCACACGTTCCGAGCAAACGGGCGAGACAGTGCTCTCGGCCGAGTACTCGGTGTGTATGAACATTACGCCGAGTGCTCGGCCGAGCGCTCGAGTATGTGACTCGCTCACCCAACTGTCTCGACCGAGTAAACATTTTACTGTCTCGCCCGTTTACTCGGTACGTGTGATCAAGGCTTAACTGCCGGAACACAACAATGCTGTTAACATTGTTGTTATGGCGACAGACTTAGGTAAGATGGCTTCTACTACTGATGGTTTGCTACTCGCGCCGCAACTGCGACGGCTGCTGGCAACACTGGTGAGGACTGAAGTCTTCACATTAATCATTTCAGCCACAGGACGGCCACTGTTGAACATGGGACTTCCCCAATGATTTCCACATGGGTCGTCAAGCAATCATCATCATCATCATTTCAGCTATATGACGTCCACTGCTGAACATATGCCTCCCCCAATGATTTCCATGTTGATCGATTGGTAGCGGCCTGCGTCCAGCGCCTTCCTGCTACCTTTATGATTTCATCGGCCCACCTTGTGGGTGGACGTTCCACGCTGCGTTTTCCGGTACGCGGCCTTCACTCTAGAACCTTGCTGCCCCATCGGCCGTCAGTTCTGCGTACTATGTGCCCTGCCCATTGCCACTTCAGCTTGCTAATCTTTATTTATTTAAAGACTTTATTGCACACACAACAATATTCAGTACAAAAAGGCGAGCTCAATGCCATAAGTCATTCTCTACCAGCTGTAGCGGTAGCAGTAATTGTTGTATGTTTTTTTTTATGAACAACATCCGCCCACAACAAATCACCACTCACAACGTCCACCACTCTATCAAAAGAACTTTCTAGAACTAACGATTGAGAAGAAACTTTCTTCACAATTTCCAGGTGGAAAGCTGCCACGAGTTGGTAGAAGCCGGGTGTTCGGGGCCGGGCGGCGCGGGCGCACTATCGGCCCTTAGAGCGCATTTAGCACGCGTCGAGATGCGCGAAGGACACGCCTACTTACACCCTGACGAGGTGAGTAGTTGGTCAGATATTATGGGTTCGAATCCCGCAGAGATACATCATCAAAGAATTTGATGACCATTCTCTAGTATTTGGAACGATCGTGGATATTCATAGTTAGTGTGTTATTTTTATACTTAATCAAACAAAAAGGCTTAATTCTTCTGATATAAAGCAACAACTTTTTCCAAGAGACCAAATTTTAAAACTGTATCCTACTAATTCAATAAATGCGAAAGTTTGTATATGTCTGGATGTCAACATGTTTGTTACTGTTTCACGCAAAAAATTTTGTTTGACCAAGTATAAAAAAACACCCACTATTTTTTTTGTCACCAAAATACAATCGGTTACAAAATACAATTGGTGTACTTTCAAGATCAACAAACTTCCAACGACTCGTACTGTCAAATAACACTGAATCGCAGCTTTGCACAATAGTCTAGCTAGCTAGTTGAATCTCTAGTTTAAATAAATACACTGATCATTTACAATAGTACTTATAAAACTATTTCAATTTTTATCCAAGCACCTCCATGATAATAAATGTTGTTTCTCAAAATCGCTTACGACTATATTTAGCTGTGATGACTAACCTCTGCTTTGTTCCTCCACACCTCACCCCGCAGACTCTTCGCTCCCGTAGAGCCTACAGGAGACTCTCGCTTGATGGCATTAGACTCTACTTTTGAATTCTTCACCTTTAAAAAACAAGTACCTAAAGCCACAATGAGTGCATTGGTGTAAAATACTTTGTACTTTTAATATGTTCTACGAAAAATGTATTAAGGTAGCAATCCTCCCGAGGCTTTATCTAAACGATAACATCTTCTAAAAATATTTAACAAGTATGTTCCGGGATATAAACAAACGTTACCATTTTTAGATATACATACGTCTTAAACTAAGGAAGGGAACGCAATTTTAATAAGTTGAAGTGTGTTCAAATATTAGTGTAATGGTTTAACTTAGTTACATATTTGCAAGATAAAATACAAAACAACAATGTGGCACCTAGCACATCATTCCACCCCATCCACCCTTAGCGTCTATCACCCGCTTCAACCATAGACCAGTAGCAATATCGAGTAAAACCTCTCTCACCTAAACCTCCCCGACCCAAGGTCCAGAAAAAGTCCGGTCGCTGGCTGCGCGGCCGCCGCAGCGTCTCCGAAGGACCGCAGGGGTCATCGACCGCTGCTCAGGTCAAGTGCTGGGGCGTCAAGGAGGTCCAAACCTGGCTAGAGTCCTTACAGCTAGGGGAATATTCTGACGCGTTCGCGAAACATGACGTCACGGGCCGCGAGCTCCTCTCATTGGCGCGTAGAGATCTCAGGGATCTTGGCATCACGAAGGTGGGACACGTGAAGAGGATACTGCAAGCTGTCAAGGAGCTGCAGTGACGTCGGCGAGGCCACTCCGAGGGAGATGGCCACGGGTAAACGAAACGGACGGTCGCGACGCGATGTGATTTTGTTTTTTCAGAATGGCAATTGTTTCTTTACGGCCAGATGCTTTGAAATAAATTAGATTATATCGAACTGTCGATTGTATTTTCAGCAATATCTACTTATTCGTTTTAAGAATTTGACAAGCAAAGGCGTTCTGTTAAAAAGCCAAATGCTGTATCATTCGTATGTCTTCTTCTTATGAAATAGGTAGTTTTTAGATACTTAAAACACACATAAGCAATCTGTATGCCCTTGATATAGTGTTAAAGTTCGTGTGAGTCTTTTTGAGACAGAATACTTTAATATTTAGATAAGTCTTGCTATATAACAATAATATTACCTACTTAATCATTTGATAATGGCGATGTGTTGTCTCCAAATACATAGCGTAGTACCTACCAAAGATTACATAATACTTAATTTGCATATTTAAAGCTATATTTTAATGATATAGTCTAGAATTATAGCAATATTAATTTTAGGGAAGGTAAGTCGCGACCGTAATAATACAATTTTAGCCAATAAGATATTATTTTGAACTTCTCCATATTTGTTAAACAATATGAAACTAGAAGGATTATAATGAATATGTATGAAATTATACGATTCTTAATAGTTAAATAAGGAAAGAAATTAATAAGATTAAGTTTAGGGTCAGTTTTACAGGTAAGTTCTATTACCAAAGAAATCTTCGTTATACATTTTAAAAATAAACGACTTATCGCATAATTTAAATAGATTTAACAGTTAGAGCCTTGTCAGCTCGCATTTTATGACTTAGCTCATATAATAAAAAGATTGTAAAAATATTGACTCTATTCTAATCGATGTATCTTAAATAGCTAAATAATATATTTACTGATCCATGAATAACATTATCATCATCATCATCAAATAATCTTGTTGGTTGTCCTAATTAAATAAATAAAATAAAATAAAATATTGGATTTAAAATGACAAGGCTCTAAATAGGTCAACATTTAAAATTATGGTGCGAGATTATGCCTCTCAGTCGCTCTTACGCGATTAAGCGAGTGTGGAAGAAAGAGGCACAATATCTACGTCATTAGTCTAAAATGTAATTTTAAGGCAATTATTAAAACTGACCTATTATTCCTAAATTGATGAATACCGTCGTATGGTTCATACCAAAATAATATTGTAGATATATTTCTACATGTTTTGGTAAACAAAAAGACTGAGAAAAGAAAGATTAACAGCTGTTGTTAACCAAAAAAGGACCATATGTCTAGTACAGCAAGGATGAAATTACAATGAAGCCTACCCAACGATATTATACTATTGGACTATACCACTTTTTGCTATAAATATCTTCTAATCCGAAACTATATTTTCGTTTAACTCTTGAACATCGAAGTTTCTACCTCTCCTTTGCTATGTTCCTGTATAATATTACTAACTACTATCTTTCCACTATTTATTGCCATAAAGATATTTTTTTCAATATCATTGGCTAAGAAGCTTAAAAGAAATAAACGAATACCACTAAGAAGTACGAACATATAATACAAAATGCCTGCTCAGTACGAATGAAATATCAGGCATTTCAAGTAATTAAAATTAATAAAATTACAGTACATACGGCAGTAAGATATAAATAACATAAATGTGATTCTACGCACACATAAATAAATATAACTAAAGTCTACATAGATAAATAAAATAATTGAAATAGCTGTAGCGTGGCTCGTAGCGTCGTAGTACAGCTACGGATTGCTACGAGTTCGTAGCAGCTACGCACACTTCGATTCGTAGCCTAGCCAATGCTACGGACTACGAATTCTGTAGACGGGTTGGTGAAAGAAGCAACGCAATGAAAAAAGAGTGTTGTCTCTCTCATACGGAATAAAATAGTGCTGGGAAAACTTTAATGTCGTCGAATTTTGTAAAATCAACATATTTTCGACAACACATAACATTGTTATTAAAATCCCATTCTCAACGCTAATTCCTGATATTTTTAATTCTCATGGGAACACACTGGACGAATTTATTAGCACTTTCAATATACACCCTACAGTGTCATTAACTTATCATTGCTGACTCAACTATATTATGAATCATGAATTGTCAGATTGATCTATTTTTCATTGAGTCTTCTTAACATAATAAGTTTGGGACACTGTATTTTTCACCTTCCTACATTGTATTTACCCTATTACTTTTGTAAACCCTTATTGTGGCGAAAAAAGAAATTGTTAAGTCTAACATTATGTCGTCACTATTGATATTTCGAAGTCACAAGCTGCCAAATTGCCTTCAATATTGAATTTGTTAGATTTTGACGTGTTTTTCAGAAATCCATGAAACAACGAAATAAGTCCGTTGTTTAATATGAACCTAAGCCTGGGCGCAGACCACCGATTTTTAGTTGGCCAATAGTTGGATCGGGCTGTTGATCAGTATGGAGTTGTATGAAAGTGCGCACATTACACCGATTTGGTATCGGCCGATTCTTCATACAAATTAGAATCGGGCCCAATTATCGGCCAACTAAAAGTCGGTGGTCTGCACCTAGGCTTACATTTATTGTTTTTTAAGCCATGTGTCCATGACTGTATGTATAAATATATTACTGGTTTAAAAATAGGCTTGATTCTCCTACGATCTTAATGGAAAATACTGCATGCAACTTAATTTTAGTAAATAATTTAATTGTTATCAAAAGTCATCAGTTATAGCTTTACTTGTGGACACATAGCTATTGATTCCGTATTTTTGTTTCTTATACCAACAGATGTAATAGTAACTACTCGTAGTGGTTAGCGACATTTTTTAAATACCAAATATTATTAGACAGCACTCCAATTAATAGATGCACAATAATTTTATAGAACAACTATACGATTGTTAGTTATTACGTAAAATACAACAAATATTTTTTTCAATCGATTTAAACCTTTTTTCTGTACAATACTAAAAATATAGGCATTTCTTTCGCATACAGTTAGATTTTATAAGAAATATGTGATTGCATGCAAATATTAATCAGTTTAACTAGCCCGTGTACTCATTTGATGCACAAATTGTTTTCCTGTATAATGATTTAATCATCGAAAGTGTTAAAATATTAAATAGCACTCATCTCTAAAAATTATACAGGAATTAAAATGTTAAAACAATAGCACAGACATAGTAAGAAGCATAGTAATATACCTACCTGTACTAGTGATAATTATTTATTCTACATTAAAAAATAAATATATTCTCCGCCTGAATAAATTATACTTATTACTGTTCTGGAGTTGTAGTAGAATACATTTAATTATAAAATATTACATTCGGACATGCGATGATTAGATTATTGCAGTAATATAGTACTCAAATATGATGTAGGCAGTCATTAAATTAGGTGTCTTATGCCCGTTTTCACCATCAATCCCTTATTTTTAAGTGACCCCTATAAAAACAAAATTCCTGTTAAATGTTACCAATCTTAAAAATTAGGGATTGATGGTGAAATCGGGCATTAATCTCAATTCAATATTCTAAATAATAACAAGCAATTTCATCATCGTCTATTCTATATTGTGTGTGTGACAAAGAAAGTTTCGATGTGAAACGACTCTATGAAATGTGATCTCTTGTATTTTGTTGTATTTAATCTTTAGGTAACGTATGACGACTGCGTTGGTTCTGACCACTTTGATTATTAGTTTTTTGGTGTAATGTGTTGCGAGTCTCTCGACATAGTATAGGTATAAAAGTTGACTTTTCATCACGAACTAATATTTGACCCCGTAATTTTTGTAAATGAAATAAAAAAATAAAATGTTGTTTTTGTATTGGTAGAGCATCTAATAAGTTTACTAATGCTGTCCTTTTTCAACTAGAACTAAAAACAGAAACAGCTATAGGTATTTTTCTCTTTTTTTGGTACCTTAAGTTTCGAAATGTTACAAAATGTTTGAAACTCACCAGCGCAGTCGGTTCTCCTTTACGGATCTGCCTTATAGATGTTTTTATATCACTACCGTGCTAACCGTTCTATTGGTGTATTGTGCGACGATTGCGTGTGTTTAAACTTATATTTATATGAGCATTTATATTAGAATAACTCGTGAATGTTCGATCTAATTATATGAATTAAAATAAAATATTTCTGCCGGACCCACGGCACATTATTGCCTTAGATGACTTAGGACTATTTTATTATAAATAAATAATTAAAAGTACTTTATATTGGACATTGTAATCTATATTATTCGAAGCGTAGATATTCTTGTATGACTCATTTTCTGTGTGTTAAACTATTCGATCAATGACAGCAATTAATTGTTAAGTTTAATACAAGAAAAGTGTATAGCTCATCTCAAACAACTTTGAAAAACAATCCTGAATCATTTCACTCATATTAGGCGTGACTTTTCCATTCAATGCCTACAAATGTGATTTTAGTCTCTTACGTGCTGTTGCTCTCCCTTACTATAATGGCGCAAGTACACTAGCCTGGAGTGCTAGCCCGTCGCACACCGAAGTATGGGTGACGCACGGATGGGGGAAGGAGAAAGTAACCGAGATGTTGTTCACACTATTACGTCTTGGCCAATTTCCCGAATAGTGTACTTGCGCTATAAGAATAAGCGCAGGACATTACAGAAATCATTAGAGGCTTTCGTACAAAAGATGACGTATTTAGATTGAAAAGAAAAATCAACATCTATTTGCTGTTATTGATTGAAAGTTAAACATCAAACTATTGAAGAGATTGACGTGGTTTAGTAAGGGAGTTATTTCTTGAAGATGTTTTACGCTGATTTTTCGAATACTTATTAAGTGTTGTGTTATTTATTATAAAATCTTGTGGAATTTTACAACTGGTGTGATTCGGTGTGTCGAACTGTTTTTACATCGTTTGGATTGATGTTAAGGAATAATATTAATTAGTGTGATATCCTTTCGAATAGAATTTGGATTATGTATATCTGAAAATCGATTATTATTATTATTGTTGTATTTAATGCATTTTTCTTGTAAATTTAATCATATCAATATGTTTAAGTATGTTGATGTCGCTGCCTGGTTGGTACACTTTGTGAGCGGGACCGGTTCCAGGAAAGTATCGGTGAAAGTTCTTGCTATATTGTAACAAAGAAGTTTATCAAAAGATCTCCTTATAAAAAATTGTTTTTTAAACTAATTTAGTCACAGAAAATGCCACTTACCAAACAAAAAGCTGGCATTTAAGTACCAGAAAAACTATTTTTCATACCTACCGATGCAAAAAGCGAAGTGTAATAAGATAGAGAATATTTCGATGGACTAGCATCTGTTTGTAAAGATAAGTATGATATCTGTTTTGAAAGATTGCGAAAGCTACGAATCACTTGCCCCTAGGTCCGGTCCCGTTTGTAAACATCTAAGCAATAAGCATCGATAATTCACTTCGATTTTCTACTTAGATGTTGTTTGTGATGCTCTGTCTATTGTATTAAAATGGCCGATAGCTGAAATACCGACCTAACTGTATACGAGTACCGTAGTACCTATTTATTATCGAACCTAAGACCGATATCGAGAGTCTTAACTCTGTAACCACTAGACCAATGATGACACGATTTTAATGTGATCTTAAATGACCTAAAACTTAGCTGGATGAACGAACAATTTGTAAAAAAGAATCCGCTTGTGTGAACTTGAACTAAAAGCTGCAAAGAAAAAATACCTTATTACAAAAAGCCTTAAGACTAAAACAAATCATTGTATTTTATCGGCCATTTCTATACAATGAAGAGTTAATAATTTTAGTTTTTCTAGTCATTAAAATTATCGTGATGTTCCTGGCACAAGTTGTGAGATTCGAATTAAATTGTGTTAGAGTTAGTTTCAATACGTTCGTAATTGATGCATTTTGAGAATATAAAGTGATTATTGTATTTTTAATTGAGCTCGTAGGAAAGAGCTAATGATATTGTTTATGCTATTTTGTTTGAGTAACTCTGACGACGATTTTATAGACGTTTTGAGCATTATATCTCGAGCCGCTGGCGGTTTGAGAATTTTTTTTGTTTGAGTTACAACATTGCAGTGATTGTATCGATTCAGGATTCGAATTAAAATTAAAAAATAATAAACGATCAAAATTTAAAAAAAAAAGAGAATTTTGTCAGAGTCATCGCTACTTTCTCTTATTCCTAATGTTATAAAACGTTTATTTTGAATGTATTTTGCTCAATTTTATTTAAGTTATTAATTTTTATATAAGTCCAACTACTTATTCGTAAAAATGTGATGGAATTTAAAAGTTTGTTTGAGTGTGAATTATATTTTATGGCAGTGGGACACATCAATAAGTCACCTGGCAACACATTTTTGGACCCGTATTCTGCATTCGAGTTTCAATTCACAAAATTGCATAAATCGTTAGTAATCTCTATACGACTGGTCTTTTTCTAAAATTATGCGGACCTATGCTAAAAAATAAGGTTTTAAATCCACAATTTCTTTTAATATTCACGAATCCTGATTAAATTGTTCATAATTAATCTAAAAGAGATGGCTGTACTGTAGGTAATTATAGACTTATTGATGTGTCACCACAGAATAAAGAACCAGTTTTTATCGTCGAGTGTTGGTATAACTTTACTATGGAGGGCGGTGCCCATTGATATTACAATATAATATACGATTCTGATATTTCCTCTCGGTATTTATATATTTGAGAATTCAATAAATTATACTGTTACTCATACTTTCTGGATTTCATTTCGTAGATATGCTCCAAAGGAATAGTGTAGAAGAGACAAAACTACCCTTACATACGTTCTCAAACAAGGTTTAGACATGATAAGATAATGGAGTACCTACGTAAAATAGTCATTATAAAACATACCGTTTGTACTTTATTAGAATTTTAAAATATTTCCTCGGTTCCCCCTACTAAAGGTCTATTCCACTTTGATCACCTTTAATATACGATCCTGGCTTTGATCACCCAGGTCATTTTATCCTTGGGTGATCAAAGGACACAAATTGTCGCTGGAAGTCCACCTTGATCACCTGGGCGATCAAAGCCAGGTGATCAAAGTGGAATAGACCTTAATATGGTTGTAAAGCCTGGTCCGTGAGCACGTAGAATCCCGTCCAATGACCCCAAGCTACCCATCCCTGTCGCTCGCGCGTAATTATGTTGCTGTCGCGACTGTGCGACGGGCGCCCGCAGTGAGTGTGCGAGCATATAAAATAAAACAAACTTCTTACCGCACAACCGCCTTTATTCTTTCCAACGACTGACTTTTCCCTAACAAGTGCATCATTTCAGCCACTCCCGGCCCTTCGTTTAGTCCGCTTAGCACCGAACGCAATATCTTCATCAACTCCGGAAACTTTATATTGTTGTTCTTAGAAAACTCTCTAAGCTTATCCTTTAAAACGGGTTCTTCAAACACCTCTTGCGTTTCGAGGTATTCAACTAACCGATGTAACAAATCTTTGTCGATATCCATTTGGTTATTTGAAGGAAGAATCCAAAGAAAGCCGAATTTGGAAGACACTAAATCTTCAATCTTTGATATCCTAGCCACAGCCCAATTCAACACAGTTTTTATATGTTCTTTCTCAATGTCTAAGGTCTGTGAGGGGTAGGTGTGTTTGATCAAATCCTGGAGCTTGGCCACCAATGTTTGGGAGAGCTGGTCGTCTTGTAGTTGCCGCCTGATCTCCAGTCTGTTGCATTCTTGAAGGAGGTCTGGGTTGAGACGACTAGGGTGCGAGGATATCCTGTCGATTTGGAACTGAGAACAAATGAAATAAATATCAACAAACAATTAAATCTCAAAATATTACGTTTCTAACTTTACCTAGGCGTTTCTGGTCGCGAATAAGGCGACCTTAGCCATAAAGCATTCCATGCCAGTTTAAATGGCAATGCCAGTTTTTTGATTACAAAATAGTGTAATAAACTAAACTTACTATGGCATGTATACCTCTAAACTCAGTCTGAACTGAGTTACGAGCATTAGAAGTTTGATGATTTTCACACTAGATTTGCTTTTTGTGCGCAAGTTTTGTAAGAAATTGCAACAAAATATTGCGCTATTTTTTTATTGCGCTGATTCTGCTCAATACTGATGTCTGGAGCCTTTAATGGATGATATTGTTTGTTTACACATACAATCTCACTATTTTGTTGCAATTTCTTACAAAACTTTGCGCGCAAAAAGCAAATCTATGTAGTATAAAAATCATTAAACTTCTAATGCTCGTAACTCAGTTCAGACTGAGTTTAGAGGTATACATGTCATAGTAAGTTTGGTTTATTACACTATTTTGTAATCAAAAAACAAAGTTTGGTCGATGGCCGCGCGAAAAAAAAAAGACGCCAATTTCCGGCATTGTCTTTTGGACTAAACATTAAAATTCGTTTGGAGTTTGATTTGAATTGGTAAGATATAAATTGGGTCTTGATCAATTCGTTGTACTTAGTCCCAAAAAAACAATACGATTGAGTTAAGTGCGGACCTGCCAGCCGTGACGTCACATCGCCTCTCTGGTACGGGTGGTGCCGAGTCACGAGGTGCGCCGGTGAGTGCGAAAGATTCGCATTCCAGCGCAGTGCGCAATTAGGGTCTATTCCACTTTGATCACCTGGCTTTGATCACCCAGGTGATCAAAGTGGACTCGAAGCGACAATTTACTGTCCTTTGATCACCCATGGATAAGATGACCTGGGTGATCAAAGTGGACCGCAATGAGGGCTATCGTTTTAGCGCTCACCAGTTAGCGCCACTGTAGAGTTAGGTCCTGTCACTTGCTAGTAGCGAAGACAGTGGCACCAACTGGTGAGCGCTAAAGTGGTAGGAGGACTATCGTATTTGCACTCATCAAGATGGCGCCACTGTAGAGTAAGGTCCTGTCAATCGCCAGGGGTGCCAACTGTTTAGTATAAAAACGATAGCCCTCATTAGCTCGATTGGGTTGTGAAACTCGATTGCAATAATAGTGCGTTTACCTCTTCAGCAAGCTCGTCCATTGACTTCAGCCGGACGCCGGCGCCCGGCACGTGGTCGAAACCTCCTCCGGACAGCGTGATGTAGTTCACCAAAGCCAGGGGGAATATTCCTGAAACGTCCGAAATGAACTGCTTTAGCTTTGCTAGAAAAACTAAGGCCTCAGCCTCGAGTTTAGCGGGCAGCGGGGCGAGAGCGGCGGCGGCGCGGGAGCGGGGCGGGCAACGCAGACCCGTTCTCGAAACAAGCGGGCAGCTCGCGCGGCGCTTTAGCGGCGAAGTGTTGTGTTCGGGGTTGTGTTGTCGAGATATTTGTTTTTATTCGCAAACGAAATGTCTGAACAACGGCGACAATTTTATTTCGATTCAAATTTATTCCTAACGCTCGATTTACTGTGGGCAAAAGAAGGAGTGCGTTGCCCGCTCCCGCGGCGCTGTTTTCGAGAACCGGTCTATTTGATTTTACGCATAAGATCCTGCCGCTCCCGCGCCGCCGCCGCTCCCGCCCCGCTGCCCGCTAAACTCGAGGCTGAGGCCTAAACGATAAATTGCATCTCATAATGAGGTTGGTCACCTTAGATTCTTGTCATGTTACTATTCAATTTCGCTGCTTGTTCTAATTTCATCATTACCACCAAGTAATTTAGCATACACTGCAGGAGCATGACATAACCCTCTAATTATAGAAAGATTAAATCTTGTAGGTGGGTAAAGAAACCTGATGTTCGCATATTTGTCTCATAGTCGCTTTATACGACCATGAGGGCTTAATTTAAATGTTTAAAGGAGTCATAATAAGGTTAGTATGACCTACCATTATTTCTGTAGTCTTCTACTTTCACGTCACTCTGCCTCTTGCTCAGTTTGGTGCCGTCTGCATTCACGATCAAAGGGAGATGCCCAAACTGCGGCGGCGTCCATCCAAATGCTCTGAAAGTTTCATTTAAAATGTTAGTGTATAGGTATTCAAACATACAACATCAAATTAACTTATTATTTGCGTACTACCCACATTATTTCATAAAGTGTCAAAGTATTATAAGTACCCAATTCCGTGGTGGGTAGTTAAATGGAAAGCAAGCTCAGTAACAAATTGTATTTTAATGTTATTTAATAGACTTTAGTGTAATTAGACCTAATAATTGGTCTTAAACTGTACTGTTTCAAACTTGTATTGTGCCGTTTTATATGGTGTGAAATAAAGACTATCTTAACTATAGTCTGGTCTGTGAGCACGTAGAATTTTGTCCAAAGACCCCAAGCTACCCATCCTTATCGCTCGCGCGTAATTATGTTGCTATCGCGCTCGCACACTCACTGCGGGCGCCCGTCGCGACAGCAATATAATTGCGCGCGAGCGATAAGGATGGGTAGCTAGGTTATTGGACAAAATTCTACGTGCTCATAGACCGGGCTTTAGGTATCTAATATCTATCTAGTACCAGATTGAAAAATACAAACTTATAGATTAGTAGATGCTTCGTAGTGGATATCTGCCACTCCACGCCTCTTAACACATGTGTGACATCCATGAGGTGGTCATCCACCACATTGGCGAAGTGATACGTGGGGTAGCCGTCACTCTTCATTAGAACAGGGTCACCTTCGTTGAGAGACACGTCGTACGCTATCCCGCCGAAGATCAGGTCTTCGAATGCTGAGCAGTCTGAAGATAGCTGGAAATATGTATAATAAGGTAAGGTACATAATGAAAATAGTTTTTACTCCAACAACTTGACTTGTATTGTTTATTTTAATCCTCTTTGTTTTTAAATAATGTTTTTATTTGTACTGGTATTTCAATTAATTAAATACAGGATAATGTCAATGCAATGAAAAACATAACTTAAAGTTAACTGGCAAGTCATTTAAAAATGTTTTCTGACAATAAATTAAAGGAAATAGCACATAATATACTGCCTACAAAAAGAACACCCTGTATAGTTTACCTTAAATCTAATACAATAAGGTGTGCCAGCCCCGATCTTTTCACTGATGTCCTCTTCAGACAGACTGCGGCACCGGTTGTCGTACTTTGGTATACGCTGGGATCTGACTGCATCTCTCCGGAGTAAGTTGAGCCGCCGCTCAGTACAGAAGCATTTGTATGCTGAACCATTCTCTAGCAGTTTGGAAATGTGTTCTCTGAAAGATAACATATTTTCAAAATGATTCATATTTCTTGCATTACTCAGGTTTTTAGAGTTGGTAATAACAATTATCACAATCTAAAAAAAAGTTTGATGATAGGTAATTAAATTAATTCCTACAAACATGTTTTTATTTTTAACTTGCACTCGTATCTCTTGTTATGTCTATAACTTGTGTTTATGTCTAGAAAGTAACTTGTTATTCTAAAATTAATTTATCATAATTATGAATTATATTTACTAGTGATATTTACTGGTATATTGGAAGTCTTTCGCTCTGCACGTACGGACCATATTTGCCACCGATCCCAGGGCCTTCGTGGCACTCAATCCCTGCCCACTTCAGATCTTTCAATAACGCTTTCACCGAGCCTTCCACTTTCCTCGTCTGATCGGTATCTTCGATTCTAAGTATAAACGAACCATTACGAGACTTAGCAAATAAATAATTGTACAAAGCGGTCCTCAGACCACCTAAATGGAGATATCCCGTAGGACTAGGGGCGAATCTCACCCGAGGTACTTTGGTCTTAAAAGTACGACATAAATTCACTATCGACACAGGCAGGACACGATTATTCAAGACAGAATTCATTTTCAGACACTAGCAACTCATATTTACATTGATATCCGGTTATATAAAAAGATTTTCATTTATGAATATGGACTTTGAGGTTAAAATTCACCACAACAATAAACAGCTGATTGTCATAATGACAACTGAGAAGAGGATCTTCAGTTCGAGAACTTCAAAAATTTATTGTTGAATTTTGTGAAAATAGACGAATAGAAATAAAAATTCTCATCGATTGAAAATAATAATCAATAATGAAGAATTTTATTATTTAAAGTGAATCAATAAGAAATAACAAGTTGTTTTTTATGTTGATATTTATGTGTTTTCCTCATTATAATTTTTGAACGAACAGCCAATTGTCTATGAAATTTTACTAATGTTGCAAGGAAATAAATTAATCATTATAATAGGCAAAATTTTGTCAAATTAGGAAGTTTTTTTGTAATTCAACTGGTCAATATCACGAAACATGGTGATTATGATGGATATGAGCGTCCTAAAATTAGTAAATCATATCACCAAAATATCATGACAGACCGACTAAACCAGCCATATAAAAAAAAACAATATTAAATGCAATCAAAGTTATTAGTTATTTATTTAAAAAGTTGTATTAGTTTTAATTTATTATAAGTTAAAAATAATGTTCTTTGTTGTACAAAGAGCAAAATGCTGGTGCATTGCATTATTTATAAAATACTTTCTATTCATGCTTAGAAATGAAATATTAAAAACTGGATTTTTAAATTACGTGTCTTTAAAAACATGTTTTTCTCTTTTTGTTCGTTCAATCTTTACTTTTGATTTGATCTTTTTTACTTTTGATTTGATTTGAAAGCTTCACGTTACAAGCATTAGAAGCGGAGCAATCCCGCAAAAACAGAAAAACTATGCAAATTTCTTAAGCGTTAGTACGCTTAAGAAATATTGCATAGTTTTTCTGTTAGCGCGGCTAGTGAGTGAAGATTAAAAATAGGGTAATTTTTTTCATAACGCTTGCAATAAACATTGTCTATGATTGTTATTTCACTTTGGTACTGATGTCGAAATAACAGTGAAAGTTATTAGAAATAATAAAATCTTTACGAAAATGGTGAGTAATCATTGCCAAACACGCATTTAAATCGTTTAAAATAGATTGGATTAATAAATTACGGCTGTGTCACTTAGTAAATTACGTTATTAAAGTGACAGCTAAGCAGTGTGCGAGGTTATGACGTTCCTGCGTTTTCTTTCAGAATAAATTAAAATCGTCACAGAGGGACAAAGTGAAGAAATTCGTCGCGTTCACACAGACGAGTGAGACCACGGCGATATATTGCTTGTCTCAAAATGATTGGAAATTAGATCTGGCCAGCGACAATTATTTCCAAAACCCTGAGGCATACTACAAGGACCCTGTAAAAGCGTCCGTCGACAGAAAAAAGTTAGATCAATTATTTAATAAGTACAGAGACCAGCAGGAGGCAGATAAGATCACAGTGGATGGGGTAATGAAGTTCTTAGAAGATTTAAATCTTAGTCCAGAATCAATTTTAGTTTTGATAATAGCGTGGAAATGTAAAGCTGCAGTGCAGTGCGAGTTTACTAAAGATGAGTTCTCGATGGGTTTGCTGGAGCTGGGAGCGGATAGCATAGAAAAATTGAAAGCGAAACTACCAACGTTGGAGTCTGAAATAAAGGATACTAACAAATTCAAAGACTTCTATCATTTTACGTTCAACTATGCTAAGAACCCTGGGCAGAAGGGTTTAGAACTGGATATGGCAATAGCCTATTGGAATATTGTGCTCCGTGGGAGGTTTAAATTTTTGGATGCCTGGTGCAAGTTTCTCATGGTTAGTACACAATATAGCTAAATTTAGAAGATCTTTATCCATAAAAAATATAATACTAAAGTTTTGTCTAGTGTAAACAAATGCTAAAAATACTTATTATTGGTCTTATTTACCCATTAAATGCTTATTAAAATTTTTCCCTCCAATTTATAGTCTTGTCATATCAACACACCTAGCACTAGTTTGCCATTTGCCATTTCAATTTTTCAATATAGAGCATAATTTTAATAGCAGTAATAAAGTCCTACTTGTACAAAATTATTGCTCTTTACCCATTATACTTGGGTTTGATTCAAAATAAAAACTGACTAACTCGTCCATCACTATAAATTTCAGGAGCATCATAAGAGATCAATACCAAAAGACACCTGGAATCTGCTACTGGACTTTGCCACCCAGATTGATGATGGCATGAGCAACTACGATGCCGAAGGTGCATGGCCCGTACTCATTGATGACTTCGTGGAATGGTGCCAGAAACAAGGCCTCACGGCAGATGCGGTTAAAGCACTCGAGCCAGCGTCCGGCTAGCTGACAATCATAGGCTTTGAGCACTATGACGAAGACCTTTTGTACGCTGGCATAGAAGCCATTACACCTGAAGGTGGCTTCTTGAAAAAGATTAAAGCGTGCATTATCTTTATTGTGTCTCGTTTGGTGCTCTATAGTCTAGAGCTGTGTACAGTCGAGTGGCTCATCGTTCTCATACTGTTGGAGTTGTGTAGCTGACTGGATTGTGACGTGTTATACTGAGTTAGATAATAACTGCCGCAGAAGCCTATAGTTTTTAGATAAGTCAGTCTTGAGTTTACTTTACTGTATAGAGCTCTTGCACTATTCGTCCGATATGAAAAATTTTCGTGTAGACTCTTGTTGATCCAGTTCGTACCTCTTCCAGGGTAACATTAATGGGATAATGGTTCCTCAATGGTAACAAAGTCCTCGTAAGAGATAGATAAATGTTTTTTCAAATTTTTCAAAGTTCTCTTACGTTATAGAATAGTATGCCGTCAAGTAAATTAAGCTGTAAATATGTATATACACATTAATGATATTACTTTTTTTAGTATTAAAGCTTAGAATTTTTTTCTGTTTGAATTTTAACAGCAGCTACAATACAGATTGTTTTAAAAAGCAAAATAATGTGAGCATCCAATCATATAAATAACTAGATCAAAGTCAAACAAGATAAAGATTTGGTATAAATTATTTTATTTGCTAATTAATTATGTTTAGCAGGAGTTTTGTTTAACATTTTAAATAAATCAGATGTGCAATTTAGATTTGATCATAATAAAGGTGCAATTTTAATTAATTGTTGCAATTATTTACGAAATTCCTGCTATATGTATAAGCCTAGTTCAGGCAACGTTTAAGGTTTTTAGATTATGGCCTGTTGAATTGTTCAAAAATAACGTAAATATATTTACGATTTGAGAATATAAAGTTTCAACATTTCTTAATACTTACTATTTTCAAGAGTACTGTTAGCATGATCTGTGATTTCTGATCTATAGGTATTACAAGCTTTTGTCTTGTAAAAGAACAACTTACCATAAGACTATTTAATACTTTTAAAGTGTTTATTTAATACTTGCCCTTCAACTGTGAGTTACAATCATATTAATCATAATATTCATTTGTTCAATTAAAGTTTTCAGGAAATTATTTGTCAATAAAACTAAAACAGTGTGTATTCATTTTAACAATATTCTCATTAATTTTCATTGTAGAAGTTTCTAGGGGAAGTGATTTTGCTTCTAGGATGTCATTGACTTAAAATCGTAATTAAAAGTGTTTGGTACTTAGTTTTAATGTACAAAAGATGAAATTGATGTATTTGAGTATTAAATTACATTAAATTGTTAAATAAAAATATTTTTGTTTTTATACTCCATGCATCTCGAGGACCAATTTACACAAGGTGGAGAGTGGAGATAAGATGAAGTTATGCCGTGCTCTGTGAGTTATGCTAAGAAAGAAGCGATGATACAATAGCATTAGTTTTTATTTACCCGGAGCACGAATAACCGTTCTCGCCCCGCTCTACAATACTACAATAGGAAACGTGTTATGTACGGTACGAGTCATTCGTGCTCAGGGTACAGTTGTTTGTACTATACTTCTGCAAAATGGTTGATTTGATAGAAATCAGCAGTCCGACGAAGTTCGGAATGTATGTTGCATGCTGTCCGGATTCCGGACATTCAAATTCACACGATTTTTATATTTCAAAACGTATAAAAGTATTTTTTTTTCAGAGATCTATCATACACTTAATTTTAATACCTTTGCCTATAATAAAATTTTTTGACAATTGCTTTGACATTGACATTTGACAGATTTACGCCAAGAAAAATTGCATTTTACTTGTTCCAGCAGCAGCAGATAAATATAGGAATAATCCAATAAATAACAAAAATGGCAGTCCGTTTAGGAGGTGTGTTGAAAGAATTGAGGATTCATTTGTGTCAGACAAGCGCACAGTCTGCTGGCGTGAGGTATATTGTTTACTTCTGATTACATAAACACAGTTCTAACCTCTATCTTCCTTTTGCAAAGTGATTCTTTTCTTGCAGGGAATTCATCCAGAAGAATTATGTGAACTTAAAAAAGGATAACCCTACCTTCCCTATACTCATTCGCGAGTGCAGTGGCGTGCAACCACGAGTTTGGGCCCGCTATGGTTAGTACTTTTTTCTCTGATTAATTTACTCTTAGTTCGAAGTTTTCTGATGATTATCAACGAGAATTAATGAATATTAATTCTAACCCCCCTTTTATAATATGAAGAGATTTTTGATACATTAATTTATCCAAATTTTATAAAGTGTAGTAGATATAAAATTTACCTACATTGCTAATCTTTTGTATCTTTTTATAAGCTAATTGTCGTAGTTAGTTTAATAAAAATATACCCAATTTACAGAAAAGGGCCATGAAGTGTACATGTCTCTCTGTGATTTGAATGGTGATCAAGTGTTTGCTGTCATCAAGTCACTCGTTAAAATTTAACTTGCACTTGAGTGAGAATAAATTTAGACTACTTATCCTCTGTTTAATAAGTTACATGTATGTTGAACATTAGTTTCAAGTGATATTAGCATGAAGGCACTAAGGGGGTGGAACTTACGTATAAAGTCATATTATCTAGATATTGTTTTTTTAATTATTTTCATTATCTATTTCACAAGATTTAAATGTGTATGTTGCAGTCATTAATTATTTAGTTCAGCATTTATCATGTATTTTGAAGGTATATATTTCACTAACGACAAGTATTAAGGTAGTCAAGTTAATATACTTAGGTGTAAAGTTGATTAGTTTAATTATTATGATATAGTAAATTTGTAAGTTTTTCTAATAGGTTTTGTTTATATTTACAGAAAAGGGAGTGGAACGGAGTGCACCTCTCACCAACCTAACAGCTTCTGATGTAATGTCCACCATCAAACAATTAGCAAAGTGAACATTCTGATTATTTAAATGGTTATGTACATAATATAGCATATAGATTATGTTGATTTATTATTTCAAGTAAATATCAGTTGGATATTTTAACTTTAACAGACTTTCATTTAGTAGATTTTATGGTTGAATTCATGAGCTAGGTAAAATAGGTTTAAAATAAGGATTCTAGCCAATCTAGGTGATAAAATAAACAAATTAAATGATGATATAAATAATTTATTATGATTAATCATCTAAAACCTAACAGACTTTGTAAAAAATAACAACAGTTAAAACTCTCTAAAACTACTGGCACTAAATGATCATTGCATTACATAGATCAATTGCTACAAAGTATAAACTTTTGTACATAACTACAAAACTATGTTTCTTTATTACATTTTCCTTTACAGTATTTGGAGGCAGTTAAAGTTGGTCAATATGCTAATTCAACTGGTATATTTTAAACATTTGTATTACAAAGTTAATTTTTTTCTTAACTTATTATTATTTTGTTGTTGGCTTTTTATGCGATATTTACATAAGACTTGTTTACCAACCTTGTGGCATATAGAAACGATACCAGAAATTACAGAGTACATCTTCAAACTCAATTAAATTAAGTACCTACAGAACTAAGGGATACAGTGCTATGTTTTATGTAGTGATATACATTTAATTTGGAAAATAGCACATTTTTACAATGATAGATGTACAGGACAACACAATTATAATTTTACATTGTACAGAGCCACAGAGAGGCTGTACAGAGAAGGTTTACACCATAAAATTATTTCCCCGTGAATAGCACTTTAGCTTAAGAGCTTTTTTTGTAGTCAAGACCTTTTTGATAATCTTCCCATTTTTGTCTTAAAATTATTTGTAAATTAAACTTATAAGAAGCACCACAGTTAACACTAAATATTATGTGTAGGTAATGAGGGCTATCGTTTTTATACTTAACAGTTGGCACCCCTGGCGATTGACAGGACCTTACTCTACAGTGGCGCCATCTTGATGAGTGCAAATGCGATAGTCCTCCTACCACTTTAGCGCTCACCAGTTGGTGCCACTGTATTCGCTACTAGCAACTCTAGCAAGTGACAGGACCTTACTCTACAGTGGCGCTAAAACGATAGCCCTCATTGGAAATTAAAATGTGTTTAGTTGGTTACTGGTTACAAATTTTACTTACAGAAATTATTAGAAAACTAGTAATTAACTGATTGGCCACTATTTATACTTGTACATTCAGTAAGGATGTGGACACCCTTTATTAAAATAAGTCAGTCATATTTTGGAATTGAATCCACAGTATTATTTTCATAAAACTTTTTTGACTAGTGTCCATATCTGAAATGTTTGTCTAAAAGTTCAAGTTTTCCCTGTTTGTAGTCCTGACCAAGAGCAACAATACAATTTTATCGTGTTATGTCCATCACAGTACGACAAACCCATATTATTATAATTTATCGTCAAAATCGATGTAAAGTCACGATAAAATTATACCGTGCCGTGGCTAGAACATAGGCACTTAAACTTAAAAGTCATGTCACCTTATTAACAGTGAAATTGGCATCTTAAAATAAATTCTACACATAGCCAAGCTGATACAGCTCCGTGGATCACAATACCATATCCGTTACAAAGGTCACTGAAACGCTGGCAGTCCAAACAGTTCAGGTTGGAACTTGGCTAGGGTGGGAAGTACTATGGTGGCGTGTTTGGTCAGTCTCTTGTCCAGGTGAGGGTCAGGAACCATTACTACTTGCATGCCGGCGGAGATTCCTGCGGTCACGCCGTGCGGGGAGTCTTCGAATACTAGACACTGAAATGGTAATGTTTTTTATGAAATTCATATAAGGGTGGTGGAAAATGTGTAAAAATATAGGCTTGCTTTTTGATGTAGTAGTTAGTGCATCAGGTAAGTAAAGCGTTGTAGAAGTTAAAACAATATAGGGCAAGTGACTTGTTGTCATGTCACGTGTTATGTAAATGCAAGATCGCATTTACATAACACAAAAAAGAATCAAGTAATTTTTGTATACATTTTCTGGTACCCATAGTGCATACATTATTTAGTTTGAGAATGGATGTAACAGTGTATAATGTCTCAGAATATTATTTAAGTCAAATAACTGCTAAAAATAGCTGGATGCGATACCTTTTCTGGTTCAGGTTTGTCTGGGAACCTGGCAGCTGCTACTAAGAATATATCCGGATGTGGTTTCCCATATTTGACTTCGCTATCTGTGCTGCCCATAACTTTATGATGGAAGTAAGAGAACAATTCCTTGTGAGCTGCAACTTTTGTGATGACCGATCGTTCACTGGAGGACGTAGCCAGCGCAAAAGGCACTTTTGTTTTGTGGAGGTGACGGATTAGTCTTTCGGCACCTAGAAAATAATGGTTGTGGTAAATTATCATCATCTAATGAAAAATGATGTGTAAAGTTCACATTGCAAGAGTCAGACACATCAGTTAGTTTAATTTAAAAAAACATGGCCATGAACCTTAATACATTGGCTTTGTTTCTTTTTTTAACATACTGCCAATATAAAGTTTAACAAAATGCTTGTATCATCTTGATAATCAATATTTATTTATTAATAGCACAGAATCAGATATGGTGTAGGTATTTACTTATCATTTTTATGAGGGTGGTTACTCAAGAACTAGAAAGAGGATTGACAAATGCGCAATTATATTGTCTGTAGACAGGATAATCATAATTCAAATAAAAGATCAAGATAATTTTTTATTGGGAAGTGGAAGCATAAAATTTGCCTGTATAAAACTTACACATTTGTGAAAATAAAAGTTGATTCAACTGCAAAGATAATACTTCATAATATTGATATTTTAATTGCCAATTCATCAGGTAAACACAAACAGTCTAGTAAATATTGGTAAACAAACCAAGAATTGGACATTTCTTTCTGTTCTGTTATTTGGTGTGCAATAAAGAGTATTTATTATCCCAACTAATATTATAAATGCGAAAGTAACTCTGTCTGTCTGTCTGTTACGCTTTCCCGCTTAAACCTCGCAACCGATTTTGATGAAATTTGGCATAGAGACAGTTTGAGTCCCGGGAAAGAACATAGGATAGTTTTTATCCCGGTTTTTGAAACAGGGACGCGCGCGATAAAGTTTTTCTGTGACAGACAAAATTCCACGCGGGCGAAGCCGCGGGCGGAAAGCTAGTTATTATTATTGAACTGACCATCAAGCAATGGAGCTCCTGCCAGCATAGTGTCCCCGAGCACTAACAGCTCATCCCTAAACTCCTTAGGGCTCACGGGAAGGTTCAACTCTTTACACAGGATCTCCGAGAGACGTTGCTCCGTGCCACCCAGCACCTTCATCATCATTTCTGTGGTGTACTCGTGACCATATTTAGCACACAGCTGTGTTATCATTTTCTTGTAGACTAATTCAGTATCTGAAATTGACAAAATCCCAACTAATATTATAAATGCGAAAGTAACTCTGTCTGTCTGTTACGCTTTCCCGCTTAAACCTCGCAACCGATTTTGATGAAATTTGGCATAGAGATAGTTTGAGTCCCGGGAAAGAACATAGGATAGTTTTTATCCCGGTTTTTGAAACAGGGACGCGCGCGATATAGTTTTTCTGTGACAGACAAAATTCCACGCGGGCGGAAAGCTAGTAATACATATTTTTGATAAGTTACAGAGAACATGTTTATCTTTACAAAAATACCTTTCAAGTTACAAGGTTTAGAACTCTGGATGCTTTAACTCATACTAGAAGCGAAAATAAACTTTATAGGTAACTGAATGAAATAATTTAATTTTGTTTCAATTTACAGTGGTACAGGTATTTTTTTAAATAGATTGAAAGTCACTAAATTATTGAAACACATTTTTCTACAAGTAGTCTTAAAAAGTTTCGTGATGCAACTTTATAAGAAACATTAGTTTCCTGCTTTGAACATTATTTTTATTCATTCATGAATAGAGAAATGAATTAATATGTAAAAATATACGCTTACTATCACTCGGAAAATACATAATATTAAACTATTGCACGGCAGCAACACATTTATAACATTAATTATGTAATTTTACGCTTTGCAAAGTAACCTTCATACCGATTAACATTGAATTCAAATGGAAAGGTCGACAATATCCACTTACCCAAAAGTAGCCCATCCATATCGAAGATACAGTGCGTGACTTTCTTATAATTCGTAGTTGACAAAAATCGTTTGCCAACAGAGCTTGATAAAGTTTTGAACAAACAAATCCTCATGGTTAGTTAGGCCGGTTTGTTATGTAAAAAAACAATAACTTTAAAACCTATGGGACGCTGGGAAACGGCCAGATTAATTTAAATTTTATACTGGTAAATATTCTAAAATATTTTTTGATAGAAGCTAAGTGAAATAAACTTAGATTTCCGCAAATAAATAAATTCACACGTCCCCACGATAAGAAGACATCACTGACAGTAGTGAAAATGACACTCACTTTTTGACAGATTAAAGTAGGGATGTGTAGTGTTACTATTGTCGATAAATTTATAACAATACTAGGTTTTGCCCACGGATAAAATATTATTGCCTACTTTATAGTTTCATTAACATTCGCTCAGCAGTTTTTAATTATTACTATTCTCAACTAATCCATTAGACTGATCGTGACGTCATTTTTATATGTTTTGAACTTTAATTGATAAACTGATTTATCTAAAATTCTGATTATCGTGTGTCTTATTATAAGGATGCGATTTATTCAAAGTATATACAGTGTGAGTCACGTTAAAGTGTACATATGAAAACAGATGAAACTAGACCTATTTTTATCGACAAAAAAGATTTTATCGAGAAAACGTTGTGATAGGGATAGAGACATGCGATTTTTGGTTTTACAAAGGTAATACGATAGAGAATAATACAAAGTAATAAAAACCACCAGTTAGAGGGCATTTTTTGGAGAAATTTATCGAATAACCAAAAAACATGAATTTAAAAGCAGATTTTTCAGATATTTGTTAGCCTTTTTTTTTGGATTTTTTTAGTATCGCCTGTTATTTAGCATTATTACTGTTTTTATTTTATCAGGATATACCGCTTAGTTTAAAAGTTATTACGTTTTCTTTACAATAAGTAATCGGAAGAAAAAGATCTATAATTTTTTTTTTTAAATCTCAAAAAGTTTTTGACCTCTTTTTTGTCGATAAAAATAGGTCTGTTTTCATCTATTTTCATATGTACACTTTAACGTGACTCACACTATAAAACTTGGTTATTTGTATCGATAGCTTTAAACTGTACTATAAATACATCCCTATCACATGCGAAACGTCATTTTAGTACTCAAAAAATATGTCCGAATCGAGCTGTTTCAGTGAAATATAATTTTAATGGAACAAAAATTTAATTCTAAAACGAGACTATTTTAATTAAATTCTATACATAGTATTATAATACTTGCGTAGAATATTAATACATCGAACTTTAAATTATTAGTTCCATATTAATAACATTATGTGTCATTTTGACATTGTGAACCATAAGGATTCGGACTGGTGAAATGACATTAGTCTAGCGGATATCCGTCATGACTTAAAGATATCCGGTTTCCGGTTTTACTTCGCGGGTTACCTAACTGCCCACATAACCATAACCTTCAACCAAAGGCTTCATTGACGAGAAAAATAAGTGCATTTATGTTTCATGATTATTTAGCTATATCTTCATATTTATTTTCGAAATGTAAGTTTTAACAATACAAAGCTTGTAATAATAAGTATCTACATTAAACATTGAAAGTGTTGCTTGCTCCTTGCTGGCTAAGCATAGTTATTCCAATAGGGCATTAGTAGATCATATTTCCATACTAAGAATCATCTAAAGTTCATTATCTTCATTGCCTTACGCTTAATTTACAATGGTATCATCAACCAATCATGCATTATGTACTTTTTTACCTACCTAGTTGTTACAAAATGTACTTGCTGACTTCAAGTGGAGTAACTGTGTAAGTGCGAAATGAAGAAAAGTAAGTAAGTAATAAATAAAAAATATGATTCTTTGTTAAAAAAATCACACATGGCAGCGTTGCGTTGCTGCTTGTTGCCGGCGGCTTTCGTCCGGCGCACGGGGAGCCCGAGCCCGCGGCGAGCGCAGTCGGGCTGCGACCGCCATGGAACGCAGTTGATCGCGCGTCAGTGCGTATGGCGTTAATACCACCGCATTTATTTCATTCAAAAATATTTTGTTCACATCATCATTTATGAATTAACATTGAACAAGTGTTGTATTTTCTTTTGTAAAACTTTATGCGAACATGGCTGTGAGAGAGTGTTGTTGTGGTGAACTGTCGCTTAACAAAAAATCGATTTTGGGATTCAGAATGAGGAGCCAAATATTGTATTTACTGTTGGTCGCTTGTTTTGTACACGCGACCGCGGCGGAGCCGGAGCCTACATGTGTGAGGGCGAAGAATATATTTGAGAAGAGCAAGATGTTAGCAGCCGTCAACATTCAGGAGCAGCCGAACTCAGGTGAGCTGCATGTCCAGCTGAGTGATAATGAATGATACGCGTCGTGCGTACAGATTGGCTGATAGTTGATAGTCGTAAGCGAAGATAAACCCGCGAGGTTATCACACCTTTTAGTGAAGGTAGAACGCTATCTGATAGCGTACACGGTTCAGAAAGGATATAAATAAGTAGTTTTAAATTAATATACAATGATTTCACTCATGATGCCTACTGAATAATACTTCTATATTTTTGGTTTAACATTACAAAATAAAAAAATCACAACAACAGCCCATTTAAACAAATTATGTCAAATCAAAGTGACAGTCGTGACAGTTGCTAATTCTGTAAGCGCCGGCGGAGGCCACCACAAAGAAATGCGCAAGAACAATTTTATACATTTCCAAGCAACAATGAATTTTATGTTGAAAATATTTAAAAAATGCACAAAATTATTGAGAAAATAGATTTAAGCACCAGCAAAGCAATAATACACACATAGAAGGAGAATAATTCACATTTTATTTGAAACATCAATTTAATACGTAATTAACAAGCAGTAAAACAAAATCAAAACGAAGTCTGGAATTTCATGAGTCCAAAAAGGCAACCTTTTTACCTGTTGTAGGAAACAGGTTAAGACATGAATATTAGACCGTGTCTAATGCCTTTTGGGATCATTTATTGCCTGTCCATTTACGAGTATGCACCTCTTTGTGTTTTATGTAACTGCTTTCAAACCACGATAAGTAACAGATAGAAAATGAAAAGAAGGTTTAGGATTAGGTCAAGAGCTTTTAAATTCGTAAAAAGAATGGTGAATAATGAATAAACAACCTTGTACACTTCGTAATAAGATATTGACACAGTAAACATCTCCCAAAAGATATGTAGGCGTAGTTGATACAGTAGGCGGAGTTGTGAAATGCACACTTACGTTGCGACATTATCAGAATACTTAGGTGTTCTGCGTCTGCGAACCTTTGGCCGTTTTATTTTATCCGAGAACTTGTATAATAAAATGATCTCTAATAATTTGGAACAGAGTTCAAATCCGGACAACACCAATATCAATGTCAGGAAATGTGTTCAAGTAAAAACCGTGGCTGGTAGTAGGCAGTTAATAGCATCACAAGAAAGCGTGGGCGATTTCCACCGCGCAGATGGTATAAACATAATAAATTTGACACAGATTTTATAATCAAGACATTATAAACAAAAATGATTACAGTGTAAAAGAATTATGTTTCTGCTTTGGTGTAGAAAACGACATTGTAGATGTAGAAGATGACATAAGGGTTTTGTAAATCTTGCGACGTGAACGAAATGTGTTCGAAGATAAAAGAATTATTTTCGATGTTACACAATTTATTGTTCCATCTACACTGCAAACTTATCCTTCAAGTCTTACGAGTCCTTATACGGCATGTAAAAGTACCCCGTCCAGTTCATAATCATTGCTAAATTATTTCTTGAAAATCCATCACTTACTGAATAAATTTCGCTCATGCACTTTCAATTTGAATAATGTTCGTTGAATTATTGTTAAACTGACGATCGGCACAGTTTCATTATGGCCCTTTTAACTTCAGTTACAGAAATTCGTTAGAGACATTACAAGTATAAATCCAAAGCTTTTCCGGCCCCGACCAGGCTATTGTTTAAATTTAATGAGATCCCACCTCGTTCAATTTGTAAAGGTATTCTGTGACAGAGTCTTTAGAAGCGGAACCCATCCCACAGTAAACTGATACATTATTAATGAGACACTGTACCACTCCCATTTAGTAATAGGTACGAAGCAACTAAACCTATCGATCTAATGACACTAATTGCTTTATACTCTTGTGTAAATCAGATTGACCTACGTGTAGAGCTATTCGAGGACTGAACAAACTTATTAATATTTAATCGTAGATAGATACATCACAACCACCACTTATGTAATTTATATGCAAACATGGTCTTATTTCATTCGTCGCCAACGGTAATTAAGTGGACAGGGCGAGATCTCGATACTCGTTTCACAGTGAGATGGAGTCAGCAGTTGACGCCACGTTTCCCAATAAGGGTCCGATGGATATAACAGCGGCGGTGTTGAGTCGCGTCTCGTCGTACCAAGTACGATTATTTGCTGAGACTTGCTGTTTAGCATGCGCCCCTCGATCGCCGGTGCTTCTAACGGGCGGCTTGTCGCGACAACTACCGGCACTTGTGCATTCGCAGACTTCTAATGTATTTGCAAACCGCAGACAGACACCGGAAAACAGACGCACAGTGTTTGATAAAACGAATTCGATTCGGCGTTTGCTTTGATCAAAGTTTTAAATAATTCATACTTCTATTAGGATATAATAGCCGTGTTTGATATGCCTGCTACATCAAACGTAAATTCAATTATGTGCCTACTCTATCATTCAAATATTTGACGTGAGAAATTGAGTAGATTGAGGTCAGTCGCCGGATTCTTTACCCAAAGTCCTGCCGTCCAACAGAAAATGTCAGGGAAGGATATCGTTATCAATGGATGGAGTATCCTGTTTGGAGACTTTCTAAACTAACCGATCTATCATGCCTGTCACGGGAGTTAGATAAAAGTTACGGGCATTAAGAAGCAAGTTTGATCATTTTTTAAAATAAAATCTAGAGACTGTTTCTTAAGAAAAATGGTCCGTCTACTACGAAGAAGGCATTTTAATTGCGACATTAAGTAAAGTATTGGATAATTTACGTCTAAATGCAAAGGTTAAAAAGTGAATGCTACCAAGACTGATGTGACTGCTATCGTAGATTAGCTTACACTGTATTTTTTCTATTTTTAGAGAACGTAGTGTACGTATGTCGTGATTCTGTGTAGGTTTTGGCATTGAACAACCTTACGAGATGCTTTGTTTTATACCCAATTTGTAATTTTAGAGGGCATCAATTGTATGACTGTAACAAGTTTTACTTGTCAAATGTTTGAAAGAAATGTTTGTTAAGCGGAGTTTATTAACAAGTGCAAATGTTTGCATAGGAAGCTCGACTCAAATTACACTAGCCACTAGTCATAAAACAGTCAAACTCTTTGTGAGTAGATACTCAGTGCCTATAGCATAGCACTCCGACCTCTCACGACAACTATTCGATGTTAGCGCTCGGTTCTGACAAAATCGAGATGTGGGTGGACTGGTTGACAACAAGCAAACATGCCGCGGTCGTCAACCTGCACCGGCTTCGATTCTATAAATCCACGTGAACTGGCAATTAGTAATTCCCTACACAATATTAAGCAATCCCAAATCATAAACTGCGGATAAAATTTAATTTTAAATGCTAATTAAACGTACTGAGTACTTGTAGGACCCAAAAACGAAAATGCAAACCCTCTATAGCGAATTAGCGCGTACCTGAGTACAAAATACCATTACGACCCGCTTTATTCTGGCTTTCATGTGAACCCTTTCAATCAAGTTAACTGAATGGCGCTCCATCAGTCACAAGGTACGGCGGTCCTTTATGTCGTCCCGTAACCTCCCATTCTGTAATTAGGGATGGAAACAGGATGCTGTCGATTATAAACCTTTTTTGCGGAGTTTTGCGAGAGCATCTGGTTTATTACGCTTTAACATATCAATTAGAATTGTCATAAATTCCGATTGAAGCGCGCTCAGTAAAGCATCAATGGGCAGTCGTAAAATATATGTAAAGAATATTGATCGTTAAATTGGCTTAGAAACCCATAAAATATTGAGGTCGAATGTGACGTAAATGCTCCAAACATAACCATGTTTCATAGTACAAAATAATCCAGAAAAACGAATGTATCTTTAATCTGAAAGTGCAAAGGTTAAGAATTTATCGGAGCGGACTCCGGATTTAGAATTCGCGGATTGGAATCTTTGCAATTAGTTGTGACTTGGGAAGTCTATTCGGCGGGTATATTAAATTCCAATAAAGGGTAAAATGTTTCTTTGACAGTTGTTCATGGAGTAATTGCGTGGAAAAGTTAATATCAAAACTTGGACTGCGTCTAAAAATACAACCCAACGCCATTAAAGGCATTCTTATGTTCCTTACACAATAGTTATTGTTACCGTCATGATATATCTGGAAATCATCGCGCACCCATCTGGGAAATAGTAATTTTCGATACACTGTACCTGGTGCATGGGTGCAGAGCTAATTCCTTGGCGGACATTCCACCGGTCGGAGCAGGTGGCGACAAGTCGCTGGCGCAGGACCGGTCCGCGGACTCACCGCTACTCGCAAAAAATGCACACGTTTAACCACGTTTAAGTCGACCGTTCCGCTCGTGTCGCTGCATCCAGATCCACATGCATCTGTCTAAGTTTACCCCATTAAGATATTATCTTGATTGTCCTATTTATAGGTCTCCATTGTTTGAGACATTGGAAAGACTTTTCCTCGTCGCCAATTTTCAATATTTCTTAAACCTATTGCAATTTCTTTTTAATTTAAATGCAGCATTGGACTCTTCTCGTGTCAAAAGTTATCAGTCCACTAGATATCGTTTGTTCTGTATTGGCAGCGGCACATTAGCAGAACACTCGAGGATGTTATCTTATAAGTCAATGCCCATTTATGTGCAAATGAACGCATATTTAATTACAATAACCGACGATACTGACCAATCGTGGTGAGTTTTATTACTAGAATATTTGTTGTTCGTCCTTCTAAAGCTCATTTTAATAAACATGAGCTGTTGAACTGCAGGACAAGATTGAGACTGTAATGTCTGTAATAACCTGGCTAATGGCGTTTATAATTGTACAGGAATGTTACTAGAATCGAAACGACTTTATATTCAAGTGTTGATAAGAATTCTATGTTTCGAAATAAGGCACATTTCTCATTGGCTTAAATTCAAAGAAGTTGTCTATAAAGCGTCTGGTATTTAATTTATTGTAGAGCCAGACTAGGATGATAAAAAGTTGATTTCATTTGTGAGAGAGATGGTTTGTGCAGTGCAAATGTTGTACTTTAATAGACCTTCAAATAAAAGCTGCATTGCTGCTGCA